CAATTGCTAGTTCAGTATAAGTATTGACTTTAAATTCAGCTTATATATATATATATAGTGATACTAACTTACATCAAATACCCACCATCTTCTTTCTGCCGCCGTCTTATTTCAGGGTCCAGCAGCAAAGAGCACCCCGGCTGTTTCCGTCAAAATTTTATGCTACTCTAAATCATTCTTATTTTAGTTTCATTGTTATTTTCGACTACATATTTCAGTATTTTCAAAAGTTTTCAACAGTATTAAACGGGATGAAAATTTTCAAAAAAGAAAAAAAAAGAAAGATATATGACACCCACAATGCATCGCGCGGAAAAGAAAGTTAAGCCGCCATATTGGCATCGCCTCGCAAAATTTACCACCATAAAACGTGAGTCTTCGTCACTGTATTTACAAATTTCGATGTCTGATTATCATTAATACACAACACAAAACGTTTTCTTGATGTACAAGTAACGAAGAAAATGTCGATAAGGTTGTTTCATTTAATGACCAGGATCAGCAACTTGTAGGGGCGATAATCCAATGACTACGGTAATGTCCGGCAGATGGAGTAGGAGTAAACTTTCGATTTATGAACCAATGAAAACGAAGTACTGATACTCAGGGCCGGGGGCGACAGCAACATGCTGAAGAGCATTGAAAATGCTCTTAGCATAAAAACTGTCTCGCATACGGAACTACTTACGGTACCACGTCCGCCTTGTAGGATGATGTGCTCAACTGTCCTGTAACTGGTTTAAAAACCCTATTAATGATTCTTGGCGGCTCTAATGGAAGTACATGTGTAAACAAGGATGATTAAAACGATCATCTGATAGAAAGAATAGTATTTTACTGCTCTCACTAACAATACGAAAGTCGACCGTTGTAAGCGTATGTGATCCGCGGCTGTATTTTAAGGTCAACATAGCTGACCTCTCAGGGTACAACAGCAACCTTGGTAAACATCTGGAATTCATAAACAACATTCCTGTAGATAACCATAATGGCTTTGGTTCGGTCCTGATAAATAATCTATCGCAGCAGGTTTTGACCTAACCATCGTAACAGGTTTTAACCTAACTATCGTAACAGGTTTTAACCTAGCCATCGAACAGGTTTTAACCTAACTATCGTAACAGGTTTTGACCCAACCATCGTAACAGGTTTTAACCTAACCATCGTAACAAGTTTTGACCTAACCATTGTTGTAGGTTTTGACCTAACCATCGTAACAGATTTAGTGATCTCAACAATTCGATTTAGTGATCTCAACAAATCAATTTAGTGAAATCAACAATTCGATTTAGTGGTATCAACAATTCGATTTAGTGATCTCAACAATTTGATTTAGTGATCTCAACAAATCGATTTAGTGGTATCAACAAATCGATTTAGTGAAATCAACAATTCGATTTAGTGATCTCAACAATTCAATTTAGTGGTATCAACAAATCGATTTAGTGAAATCAACAATTCGATTTAGTGATCTCAACAAATCGATTTAGTGGTATCAACAATTCGATTTAGTGATATTGTAACAGAGGTCATTTTTCATCTCAATGCCTCCGCTAGGAATCGAACCCGGGACCCCTGGCTTACTAGACTGACGCTCAACCAATCGAGCTAAAGAGAAGTTCCCTCTAGCCGAGTGGCATATTGCGGCTAGTATTTTACCAGGGTTACATACTCCCCCTCCAGGAAATAACTCGTCCTCGAGTTTCCAGGGGTAACAGCGATGCTGGTGGGGCATGGCCAAGTACTATTCCCGAGTCCCTACATGGGCGCCAATGTAACAGAGGTCATTTTTCATCTCAATGCCTCCGCTAGGAATCGAACCCGGGACCCCTGGCTTACTAGACTGACGCTCAACCAATCGAGCTTAAAGAGAAGTTCCCTCTAGCCGAGTGGCATATTGCGGCTAGTATTTTACCAGGGTTACAATATCAACAAATCGATTTAGTGAAATCAACAATTCGATTTAGTGATCTCAACAATTTGATTTAGTGATCTCAACAAATCGATTTCGTGATCTCAACAATTCGATTTAGTGATCTTTACAAATCGATTTAGTGACATCAACAAATCGATTAGTGATCTCAACAAATCGATTTCGTGATCTCAACAATTCGATTTAGTGATATCAACAAATCGATTTCGTGATCTCAACAATTCGATTTAGTGATCTTTACAAATCGATTTAGTGACATCAACAAATCGATTAGTGATCTCAACAAATCGATTTCGTGATCTCAACAATTCGATTTAGTGATATCAACAAATCGATTTCGTGATCTCAACAATTCGATTTAGTGATATCAACAAATCGATTTCGTGATCTCAACAATTCGATTTAGTGATCTCAACAATTCGATTTAGTGATATCAACAAATCGATTTAGTGATCTCAACAATTTGATTTAGTGATCTCAACAAATCGATTTAGTGGTATCAACAAATCGATTTAGTGAAATCAACAATTCGATTTAGTGATCTCAACAATTTGATTTAGTGATCTCAACAAATCGATTTAGTGAAATCAACAATTCGATTTAGTGATCTCAACAAATCGATTTAGTGATCTCAACAAATCGATTTCATGACATCAACAAATCGATTAGTGATCTCAACAAATCGATTTCATGACATCAACAAATCGATTAGTGATCTCAACAAATCGATTTCGTGATCTCAACAATTCGATTTAGTGATCTTTACAAATCGATTTAGTGACATCAACAAATCGATTAGTGATCTCAACAAATCGATTTCGTGATCTCAACAATTCGATTTAGTGATATCAACAAATCGATTTCGTGATCTCAACAATTCGATTTAGTGATCTTTACACATCGATTTCGTGATCTCAACAATTCGATTTAGTGATCTCAACAATTCGATTTAGTGATATCAACAAATCGATTTAGTGATATCAACAAATCGATTTCGTGATCTCAACAATTCGATTTAGTGATATCAACAAATCGATTTCGTGATCTCAACAATTCGATTTAGTGATCTCAACAATTCGATTTAGTGATCTTTACAAATCGATCTCAACAATTCGATTTAGTGATATCAACAAATCGATTTCGTGATCTCAACAATTCGATTTAGTGATCTCAACAATTCGATTTAGTGATCTTTACAAATCGATTTAGTGACATCAACAAATCGATTTAGTGATCTCAACAATTCGATTTCGTGATATCAACAAATCGATTTCGTGATCTCAACAATTCGATTTAGTGATCTCAACAATTCGATTTAGTGATCTTTACAAATCGATTAAATGGCATCAACAAATCGATTTAGTGATCTCAACAAATTGATTTAATGATCAGAACAAATTGATTTAATGATCTCAACAATTCGATTTAGTGACATCAACAAATTGATTTAATGATCTCAACAATTCGATTTAGTGACATGAACAAATTGATTTAATGATCTCAACAATTCGATTTAGTAACATCAACAAATTGATTTAATGATCTCAACAATTCGATTTAGTGACATGAACAAATTGATTTAATGATCTCAACAATTCGATTTAGTAACATCAACAAATTGATTTAATGATCTCAACAATTCGATTTAGTAACATCAACAAATTGATTTAATGATCTCAACAATTCGATTTAGTAACATCAACAAATTGATTTAATGATCTCAACAATTCGATTTAGTAACATCAACAAATTGATTTAATGATCTCAACAATTCGATTTAGTAACATCAACAAATTGATTTAATGATCTCAACAATTCGATTTAGTAACATCAACAAATTGATTTAATGATCTCAACAATTCGATTTAGTAACATCAACAAATTGATTTAATGATCTCAACAATTCGATTTAGTGACATCAGCAATTCGACTGCGACATGCTATTTAATAAATTACTGATATCGCATTTTGAAGATAAAAACTAAAACGGCGTCCCACCAGTGTGCTGTTATACTATTCATCTACAAATTTGATAAAGTATCGGCCTTTTTTTATTGATATCAATTCAATTACTAGTATGTATTATATACCATCCTGGTTACATGCACGCGGACATGAATGAAAGATTCAATTTAAGTCATATTTCTTTAACCAGGGACGTATAATACTGTATTATACGTCCCTGCTTTAACAAAAAAAACTAATTTTAAGTCTCAAATTACATTGCATTTTAAGAGTCTATATGAGCAGGATTTTATTCGAACTGGACAGTACGTTAGTTGTGATTACTTTTTTAACAGATTATACAAAGCTCCGTGTGAGAAACAATCACGTCACGTCATCGAGAGGTAAATGCGACAAGCTCATTATACATTTAAGCCAGGCTTCAAGGTTTTCATTTCGGACTACAGTTAGTGAAGATATTTTGGCTACCGATCCAATATTTTTACTTTGTCTTGGTCGCGGAAAATTGCCCTAACATCCTGCCGGTGTGATTTTTTTTCCCAGTTGATGTGGAGTTTCCAAAGCACCGATGGTCTGACCACAATCAAGGCACACTGAACCAGGGCTATTGTGGCGATATAATCTAGTTCAGTCTTCTTTATCATTGTACTTGGCCTAGAATCCAAAAAGCAATGATTGCATAACATTACTTTAAAAATTTGGGTCCATTTTCGGTGCAATCTGTCTACAAATACGCCTGCGTTGTATCGCGCTTTCTGTTCGCCAGGGACGTATATAACTTATCTACGTCCCTGTGTTCGCCCAGTAATTTCCCACTGTTGTGTGAATATTTAACATGTTTATAAATATTTACAAACAGATACATTGGTAGTATCACGGTTCAAACATATAGACATAAATGGATGAAATATATGTACCACACCTTGATATAGTTTTTCATTAACACATAAGATTTTTGAAAACAAATACGTGTTTCGCTGTTTCCGTACGCAAAGGATTTCCCGCTGTTGGACAAGGTCATGTAAATATGGAAGCGAGGCTCGCGATGACGTCAAAGCTGAGCCAATGTCCTACGAACAACAAGATGGAGGTTTATCAAACGGGGGACACACGAGGGGGATAGAAAACAACGTAGATTTAGAGTGAAGAGTATACTGTGATCGATAGTTTCTCTTGGTGTCAATCAAAGATTTTTGTCATGCAATCGTTAGCTCTTTATGGACGTTTTTTCTCCCGAGCTTTTGTATCAAGTCTTGGACTAAACCCAGAACGTCAGATAAAGGCGAGGAAGGATTTTCACCTTGTGACAGGGTCTGCAGGATTTTCCAAGTCTCTAAGGAAGACACAAGGTCCAAAACAGTGGACTTATGGGGACGATGCTTATTTCATTACCAGAAATAAGCTAGCAGATGTCATAGGTAAGAAAAGGATGTACCGAGTTCTCGCACGAGACTGCCAAAATACACGTGATAGTGTTTGTTATTGTTGTTCCATCACTTGTGACCGAATGGAGCGCCCTCCGTAGAGGTCACGTTTTGGGGAATACACATCCAGTGTGTATTTTTTAATAACTAAATGTGATCTGTGTACATGAAACCAGCAGATCGTATGTCACTTTTTCCAATTGTAGGTGGAAGGCAGTCACGGGTCAAATTTGTAAGCCACATGCAATTTGTAATCTTCTTTTTTTCAATTCGAATATGAAAATTTACTACCAAAAATATAAAGTAATGATTACTTGCTGTTTAGAAGAAGAAGCTTGATATATCACCGATCTAGTGTCTTGGACATTAAAAACTTAGAATTTTTCAATGAAAAATCAACATTTTCAATCTTCACTTTACTTAATTATCAAAAATTAAAGAAGTCTTATTGCAATGCTTTGACTGAGATTCCATCAATGACAGTTCTTTTTTATTTTGAATAAATCAGTGCTGAGTGATAACTTCAAAGACAAAATAGTTTTCATGAGTATGTTGTCTTCCACATTTAGAATAGATTCACAGTTTAGTGTAGTTTATATTTATCTTAATTAGTTCAGCCTAGCTCTGTGGCCATGTGCCAAGCTAGGGACATGTCAAGTGATTGGTGTGGAACAAATGACAACAGTAGCCAGCATTAGTACATACATTTATATATAAATGATGTAAGACTTGAAATTCAATTGTATTTAGGTTAATGAGTCAGAATTGAAAAAAAAAAATAAATAAAAAAAATTAATGCTTTGAAATCAGATAGGAACAATGGTATTTTGATGATTTGTAATATTGTGTTGTCCTTACACCAATACCTCCCCCACCCACCCTTAAAAAAAAATATGGCTTTATATATTAGTAATAATAATAATAATAATAAATATATGTAATCCTTCCAAATGAAAGATACACAATGACAAAACCTTCACAACAAGGGCACAGTCCTTGATTGGTCCAATGTAAATTGAGTCTGTAAACCATGTGACAATCTAGATAACAGCCATATCTTAATCATATAATTGATATGTCTTTTAATTGCCATTTTAAAATAGAAAGTAATTTCTTTAAAGGCTTAGCTATATAGTAGGATAATTATGAGTATTCAAGATGGCTGTCATGACCCATCTTGCAAATCTTATTGCTGCTCAATGTGAATGGAAAGTCTAAGGCAGGACTTTTGCTAATGAGTTAAAAATAAAAACAGACAGCTTTTTATAAAATCAATATCCATGTAGAATTCAACATAGCTATCACAGCAACCATGTTATTGCTACTTGAGGCAACTTTTCTAGATTGCATAGTTGTATTGGTATTATACTCAAGGTCACTGCTGTCAAGGTCACTGCTGTCATGGTTTCCGTCTTTAACAAAATTCTTATCTCTACCAGTACTTTCCTGAGCAGAAATAATATCAAGACAGGAACTTTTGTTTAACACCATATGAAATGGGTCACAAAGCAAGCGCAGTAAATAAGGAAACCTAAATCCTAGTCATCGTGCAGTGGATACCAAATGGTGTGTTTCCACTACTAGTGATTGTAGAAACTTGGTTGTTCGAGTCCAAGTTTCACGCTTTTCCTGTGGGACTCACTCAAATTTTGGAATTGGTTTTACTAGTGATTGTAGAAACTTGGTTATTAGAGTCCAAGTTTCACACTTTTCCTGTGGGACTCACTCAAATTTTGGAATTGGTTTTCTAGACTAACCTGAAAGAAATCCTACAAATATTACAATTAAGCAATAGGGCAATAGAGCACCTGTACTTTAAGGATTACTAACTAGGTATATAGGCACTTCTAAAGACATCATAGCTGAATGCTTGGTATCCATATTTAATGCTGTTTAAGATCAGTCCACCTGTAGTGATCATGCTATTCCCTTGTCCAGAAATGATGTAACCAAACCCACTGACATTGAGTATACAAGAAATAATTTGTTGGCCCCTTGCACTTACGCAAGACATGTGCAGTCCATGCAAAATGTGATATTTTTTACAGGTCATTCAGTCTGGTAAAGGGTAAAAGTTTACCGGACCAGACTCACTTTCACCAGACATTCTGGTCTGGTAAAGGTATAAATTTTACCAGATCAAAAGCGTCTCGGTGCAAATTATTATATTTATTATTAAAAGATGAGAAAAGACATGTAGATTAAATTCCTTGTAATTTTAATCATTGATTAAGACATGCAATATCAATTACAATAAAAACAGATACATCTCTATATTTTAGTGTTCCGCTCCATATCATACTCTAACCACTGTCGATTTTCTTTCAATTTTTTACTTATTTTGTGAGAAGCTCGTTTGTGCTTATACTTCCTGCTAGCTTCAATCTTCTTTATGGCTCATTCTGTCTCCGTTATTTGAGGCTTAATTGCCTACCAGGCACCACGCCTTCAATAAATTGCAACATTTTTGGATACCAAGTCACGATCACAAGCACGCTTAAACACTTTTCTAGAAATTAACCGAATCAAACGCTTGTTTGATAAAGGTCGGGAGGCGATTAATTAGAAAATCTGTACCAGACATTCGGTCCGGACTTGTGCAAATCTTTACCGGACCAACGCAAATTTTACCAGACATGTCCGACGGACCGGCAGCATTTCACGTGGACTGATGTGGTAATTCACATAAATAGATGTAATGCCTTGACAAAGATCCTTTTTGGTTACATTACTTGATTTTAACGTTTAGGTGTGGCTGACGGGGTAGGAGGATGGAGGAACTATGGCGTGGACCCATCAGCTTTTCCTAAAACCTTGATGACTACGTGTGAGCGCATGGTGAAGGAAGGAAGATTTAATCCACGGACACCAGTTAAAATAATACAGGCCAGCTATGAAGAAATGCAGCATCAAAAAATACCCTTAGTTGGTATGTTTAACATGAAATATTAACATTATTGAATATCTTTAGCAAAAATATGTTGATTCTGACCTCATCTTTATAATCTCCTTCTGACAATCATTTCAGTTCAATTGATTCTTCAACTGTACCGACTTTAAATACACACTAAATTGTTTTAGACTTTATCGTAAAATTTGTCTTTTTGTTAAAGCTTCTATATGTTCAGAATAATCATTAATATATACTGAGGAAGGACTGACCTACAGTACAGATAATTTCTTTTGTATGTTGATATAAATATATAATAATGTATAATAGGGTTAGCCAGATTAAAGTGTGATATTTTAATTTGTACATTATTATCAGTTGTCTTAAATTCAGGGGACAAAGAATTTGGTCAAAGATTAGAAAGCTAACATTTGATAGTGAAGCTATTGATGAGTGACGACATGGCCAGAGTAGACATTAGTAGCGGTAGTATGTGATAACTGGTAAATGTTGCTACTGCATTGTGTTGGATTGATTAGTGATGAAGCAATAGTGTAGTTGGAACAGAGGTCATTTATTTCAATGCCTCAGCTAGGAATCGAACCCAGGACCCCTTGCTTGCTAATCTGATGCTCAACCAGTCAAGCTATAGAGAAGTTCTCTCTAGCGGAGTGGTTTATTTCGGCTAGTGTTTTACCAGGGTTACATACTCCCCCTCCAGGGAATAACTCGTCCTCGAGTTTCCAGGGGTTACAGCAACACTGGTGGGGCATGGCTAAGTACTATTCCCGGGTCCCTACATGGGCGCCAATGTAACAAAGGTCATTATTTATTTCAATGCCTCTGCTAAGAATCGATTTCGGGACCCCTGGCTTGCTAGTCTGAAGCTCAACCAATCAAGCTAAAGAGAAGTTCTCTCTTGCCCAGTGGTTTATTGTGGCTAGTATTTTACCAGGGTTACAGAGCTAAAGAGAAGTTCTCTCTTGCCCAGTGGTATATTGTGGCTAGTATTTTACCAGGGTTACAGAGCTAAAGAGAAGTTCTCTCTTGCCCAGTGGTTTATTGTGGCTAGTATTTTACCAGGGTTACATAGTGTATTACTGGTTTCACTTAAATTTGATTGAAATTTTAAACTACAATGTAAACATCAAGACTACATCCACCAGGACTCCTTCAATCTGGCAAGGGACTTTCTACATTTATAAGCCCTATCCCCTTGATTGTGGTGGGATGGGGGTTATACTGAAATCTGTACACACATGGTCACTAGCCACAGCTTTTCATATAAAGGTTCCAGATCATGATATAACTCTTTAGCCCTCTCATTGTTTTATTTAAACTTTGTCAAATGTTATATAACTAATCATAACCTATGATTTGTTATATTACCCGGTACATGTTTCCAAAACTACCATGGAAACAGTAAAGAGCACTGATTGGTCAACATGAAATTGTTTGATTAAGCTGACAATCTGTTGATAGATTTAGATAGATGACAAATACAACAGTACCAAATTGGGAAATTTTGGGCGCCTGATTGGAGGAATCTTACCTGGACAACTCCTAATCCACTGAACTTTTCATGATTAAACTACAAAAACATGAATGACCAATGTTTGATTTTACACTTTGCCTTGAGAATTTTATATACAATAGAATACACTCATTAGATTTTGTTAGTTTTCTCTGTACCCTGTACTCCAACACATTATAAACAACTTTAACATTGGAAGAGACAAAATAAGGAGTTGATGGGGAAGTTGGGAGATAAATTATCCGTCAGCCGTCCTGCTGACAGTTCTATTGATGTCTTCAAGACACACCTACCTTTTTGATAGCACATTATGTCTTTTCAGACTTAATAGTTTAGCCATTATTTGGAAAGTTCATAAGAGGTTAATTGGTCTAAGATGATTTCCATGACAATTTGAGTTGTAGTGTTCTGTGTGATTCTTAGTGTAAGATGTTGTCGGGCCCATGCTGTGTCAACAATGTATTACAGAGGTTCAATATGAAAACCATACTGAGGTTGCACAGACTTCACAGTGAGAGATTACAACCCACAGCTGTTGTTAAAATACATGGATTGTTGGTTACGGATCTGCTGGAGTTTAAATGATCTAACAAGGAAATAAGTCATTACATGGTATGATTTGTGTGTGTAATTATTATACTGTTTCCTTATGATAGCCAGTGAGTTATGTCTCAGGAATACAGACAAAAGTCTAGAACAACCATGAAAAATAAATCACTTGAATACCTGGTAATTTAACTCCACGACATAAAATCAGATATGTTAAGACTGTGATAGACACCACTGTATAGTGTCTACAGAGTACTGTTTAGTCCTAGTAGACCTATATCAGATATGTTAATACTATGATGGACACTACTGTATAGTGTCTACAGAGTACTGTTTAGTCCTAGTAGATCTGTATCAAGTATGTTAATACTGTGATGGACACTACTGTATAGTGTCTACAGAGTACTGTTTAGTCCTAGTAGATCTGTATCAAGTATGTTAATACTGTGATGGACACTACTGTATAGTGTCTACAGAGTACTGTTTAGTCCTAGTAGATCTGTATCAAGTATGTTAATACTGTGATGGACACTACTGTATAGTGTCTACAGAGTACTGTTTAGTCCTAGTAGATCTGTATCAAGTATGTTAATACTGTGATGGACACTACTGTATAGTGTCTACAGAGTACTGTTTAGTCCTAGTAGATCTGTATCAAGTATGTTAATACTGTGATGGACACTACTGTATAGTGTCTACAGAGTACTGTTTAGTCCTAGTAGATCTGTATCAAGTATGTTAATACTGTGATGGACACTACTGTATAGTGTCTACAGAGTACTGTTTAGTCCTAGTAGATCTGTATCAAGTATGTTAATACTGTGATGGACACTACTGTATAGTGTCTACAGAGTACTGTTTTCACTTATAACTTTATATATACTTTGTCCTAGTAGATCTGTATTAGATACACCATGTATCTTTGTTTATTTTTATACTTTTTGCCTGGTATTGTTTTACATAATAAAAATGAATCATTGGTGCAGAGCATCACTGAATCTTCACCCCACCATATCACTGAATCTTCAGCCCACCATCATCAGCCAGTCGGCTATACAAGTCACTCTTCATCCACCATCCTTCCAACCGTCTATAAACAATTCTTGTAATACACCATCCTTCCAACCGTCTATAAATAATTCTTGTGATCCACCATCCTTCCAACCGTCTATAAATAATTCTTGTGATCCACCATCCTTCCAACCGTCTATAAATAATTCTTGTGATACACCATCCTTCCAACCGTCTATAAACAATTCTTGTAATACACCATCCTTCCAACCGTCTATAAATAATTCTTGTGATACACCATCCTTCCAACCGTCTATAAACAATTCTTGTGATCCACCATCCTTCCAACCGTCTATAAACAATTCTTGTGATACACCATCCTTCCAACCGTCTATAAACAATTCTTGTGATCCACCATCCTTCCAACCGTCTATAAACAATTCTTGTGATACACCATCCTTCCAACCGTCTATAAAAAATTCTTGTGATACACCATCCTTCCAACCGTCTATAAACAATTCTTGTGATACACCATCCTTCCAACTGTCTATAAACAATTCTTGTGATCCACCATTCTTCCAACCGTCTATAAACAATTCTTGTGATACACCATCCTTCCAACCGTCTATAAAAAATTCTTGTGATACACCATCCTTCCAACCGTCTATAAACAATTCTTGTGATACACCATCCTTCCAACTGTCTATAAACAATTCTTGTGATCCACCATTCTTCCAACCGTCTATAAACAATTTTTGTGATACACCATCCTTCCAACCGTCTATAAACAATTCTTGTGATCCATTTTCCTCAAAGTTGATATGTAGGTTCGCCTTGGTTCCTAATTAGTTGTGAAAGTTCATTTTGAGACTTGTCGGAAAAATGAATAGCTTATGTGGTGTTTTGACAGTCGTAGTTTGTTGTGGTTGTTACTGGTAAATTAATTGATGAATCATTCTTAAATTTTCTATGTTTGGAGAAGTATGGGATGGACCATTCTCAAACATTATACCTAGGTTCATATTTGTACCTTGTTATGTTGTTTTGATTTGGGGACTGACTGGAAAAACAGAATGACAGACAGATGGCCATGTTGGATTTTGACAATGAAGGTTTATTATCACTATTTCTAGAGTTATAAAGGTGACTCTTTGTCACTAGTTTTGCTCTTTTGACTTTGGGACTGATCTAGAAAAAAATGGCTCTCTTGGATTTTTACTATGAAAGATTTTTATCACTGTATGTCAAGAACTGCTGGTTAGTTCTTTCTCAGATGTCATGTGTAGGTTCCCCTTGATCCCTAGTTGTGTACAGATTTCATGTGTAGGTTCCCCTTGATCCCTAGTTGTGTACAGATTTCATGTGTAGGTTCCCCTTGATCCCTTGTTGTGTACAGATGTCATGTGTAGGTTCCCCTTGATCCCTAGTTGTGTACAGATTTCATGTGTAGGTTTCCCTTGATCCCTAGTTGTGTACAGATTTCATGTGTACATTCCCCTTGATCCCTAGTTGTGTACAGATGTCATGTGTAGGTTCCCCTTGATCCCTAGTTGTGTACAGATGTCATGTGTAGGTTTCCCTTGATCCCTAGTTGTGTACAGATGTCATGTGTACATTCCCCTTGATCCCTAGTTGTGTACAGATTTCATGTGTAGGTTCCCCTTGATCCCTAGTTGTGTACAGATGTCATATGTAGGTTTCCCTTGATCCCTAGTTGTGTACAGATTTCATGTGTAGGTTCCCCTTGATCCCTTGTTGTGTACAGATGTCATATGTAGGTTTCCCTTGATCCCTAGTTGTGTACAGATATCATGTGTACATTCCCCTTGATCCCTAGTTGTGTACAGATATCATGTGTACATTCCCCTTGATCCCTAGTTGTGTACAGATATCATGTGTACATTCCTCTTGATCCCTAGTTGTGTGCTTTTGATTTTGGACTGATCAGAAAATCAAACAATGGCCAATAGAATCTTGATGTAACAGTTAAAGATTATTATCACAGACTCTTCAGAAGCACTTTCAAATTTCATGATGTTAAAGCAAAAACTGTGGAAAGACAAGAAAAAGGGAAATGATTCAACTTTTAAAGAACAAATAAAGATCAAACAATGGCGAGCATCAAGGTTCCTGTGAGATTTCTTGTTTATAAATAGGAATCCTGTGTAATTTGAATTGACTTTCTGAGGTATGGGGCTGGTCGATCACTTTTCTGCAAAGGGTTAGAGGGACAGCTTCAATGTAAACTCTGCAGTTTATTACACAGAATCATCAAGGTAGTTTGAAATATTAAATCTTAAATGAAATATATAAACCCAGGAAAGGAATTCATCAATAATCTTAGCATGTATATAATGTCATCACGCAAAAATTTCACCTGATTAAAGAAGATTACAACACCCAGGTAAGCTAAAGTCTATCAACTGTCAGGGATAACACAAACACTGATGCTCAATGTATTCAATACAAAATTGTTACCCTTTATTGTCGATAGTGTAACTCAAAACATAACAGAAAAGTTAAATCAAACTTGCCTCTGGCAATAAGGTTAATGAGGAAATGTATTTTTGTGGACAGGTAGCAGTACAGCTTGTGTGGTGTCACTACACAGAGAAGAACATACCATTTACACAGCCAATTTGGGTGACAGTGGCTTTCTCGTCATCCGTGATAGTGAGGTGATTCATCGATCAGTGGAGCAACAGCACTACTTCAACACTCCATTCCAACTAGCAGTGGTTCCACCAAGTCAGGAAGGCCAAGTACTCAGTGACAGGTATGTGTGACTGGTTCCCCAAAGTCTGAGAGCCAGGCACTCAGTGACAGGTATGTGTGTGTGGTTCCTGAAAGTCTTGAGAGTCAGGTACTCAGTGACAGGTATGTGTGTGGTTCCCCAAAGTCTGAGAGCCAGGCACTCAGTGACAGGTATGTGTGAGTGGTTCCCCAAAGTCTGAGAGCCAGGCACTCAGTTACAGGTATGTGTGTGGTTCCCCAAAGTCTTGAGAGCCAGTTACTCAGTGACAGGTATGTGTGAGTGGTTCCACCAAGTCAGGAAGGCCAAGTACTCGGTGACAGGTGTATGTATGTTGTTCCCCAAAGTCTGAGAGCCAGGCACTCAGTGACAGGTATGTGTGAGTGGTTCCCAAAAGTCTTGAGAGCCAGACACTCAGTGACAGGTATGTGTGTGTGGTTTCTCAAAGTCTTGAGAACCAGGCACTCAGTGACAGGTATGTATGTGGTTCCCCAAAGTCTTGAGAGCCAGTTACTCAGTGACAGGTATGTGTGAGTGGTTCCACCAAGTCAGGAAGGCCAAGTACTCGGTGACAGGTGTATGTTTGTTGTTCCCCAAAGTCTGAGAGCCAGGCACTCAGTGACAGGTATGTGTGAGTGGTTCCCAAAAGTCTTGAGAGCCAGACACTCAGTGACAGGTATGTGTGTGTGGTTTCTCAAAGTCTTGAGAACCAGGCACTCAGTGACAGGTGAGTGGTTTCCCAAAGTCTTGAGAGCAAGGAACTCAGTAACAGGTATGTGTGTGTGGTTCCCCAAAGTCTTGAGAGCCAAGCACTCAGTGACAGGTGTGTGTGTGTGGTTACCCAAAGTCTTTAGTGCCAGACACTCAGTGACAGGTGTGTGTTGGTGGTTCCCTCAAAGTCTAAAGAGCTAGGTACGGTATTTTCTGGGTTATAAACCGCAGCTTTTTTCCTTGGCAGTCGGACATGTGGCATATATACTGATGCATTTTATATGTGGCCGAGTGGAAAATCGGCACAGTGAAAAAAGAAATGAAGAGTATTGTCTGGACATAGGTTACAGACCATTATGTATTTCGTAATGGCCATTTTGTCAAGGCACTATTGACCTATGTGACATTTCACTCTGATAATTTGGTTGCTGTAACATATTACACTTCCAGAAAGAATTAAAAATAGTGATTTAAACCAAGGATACCAGTATGACACGTCAGTTCCAAGGTATTTTACAAGTACCTGTCCATCGTGTGTTTGTGACTGCAACATATCAATTAGAACTTTCATTTGCAACTGGATGATATTAAGATTGAAATAGAAATAGCATTCTTGTGGATTTAATTAATCATACCTTTTAATATGAATCACAATAATATCTCCTGAACTTTCATGATTGCTTCAGAAGCCATAACAGAAGGTTTACAATAGCATGTTTTATCCTGGGATCGTCATCAGGTCAAATTCTAGAAACGACAGCCATGCTTTGTGTAACTTCCAAGAAATAATATGGGACTATAAGAATTTTGTCAGCATGTAAGGTCCTTCACTAATATTGAACAGACACTGATGGAGATATTGTTAAGTTAACCCTACATAACGTCAGGCTCTATATCTGTGTAGACAATATCTGAAGGCTCCCAAGCAAAACAAAAAAATAAAGAACTATCTGTGTATAATTCATTTGCAAACTTATATTAAATGTTTCACTGACGATCAAAGTAACTTGCCTTCCATGGTCAGTTATATCAACAAACTTTGGTCAACATAACATTGTGAGAAAGGGTGCCGCTTAAATTTTGGTGCATCTTATATGTGGATAAAATAGAAAAAATCACTAAAAACCAGTTCTGCAGTTTATACTCCGGTGTAGTTTATACTTAGGTGCGGTTTATACTTAGGTGTAGTTTATACTTAGGTGCGGTTTATAGCCCTGCAGTCTGGAGAGCTAGGTATTGTTGTTTACATGATATTGTAGATTCCAAATCATGAAGAATGACATAAAAATGATTTTTGTGGGGTTACAACTGTAACTTTACCTTTAAATGATAAAATCCATTATCAGGATTTATGTAATTTAGCTAGAGACTGATAAAAAGAAGTTTGACACTCCCTAATTGGTCAGTATATAAAGGCTTTTTAACTTATTATCAATCTACAGACACTTTGTTTTCATTGTAAACCATTGGTCTCTGTATCAATGTCAGTTATATAAAAGGTCTGTATACTTGGCCTTTCTTATGAAGAATTATTGTTTTATGAAGAATTATTTTTTTATGAAGAATTATTGTTTTGTGAAGAATTATTGTTTTGTGAAGAATTATTGTTTTATGAAGAATTATTGTTTTATGAAGAATTATTGTTTTGTGAAGAATTATTGTTTTGTGAAGAATTATCGATGTTTTATTATTTTGATAGCCCTACCATGGCGGATAGCACATCATTCAAGGTAGAGGAAGGGGACATTCTTTTACTCGGCACAGATGGTCTATTTGACAACATGTGTGAGGATATGATAGTGGATCACATCTCCAAACTGAAGGTAGAATTCTAGAGCCTAACAGGCTACAACAATATAAATCTTACTTTACAGGTCACAACAGTATAAATCTGACCTTACAGGTCACAACAATATAAATCTGACCTTACAGGTCACAACAATATAAATCTGACCTTACAGGCCACAACAATATAAATCTGACCTTACAGGCCACAACAATATAAATCTGACCTTACAGGTCACAACAATATAAATCTGACCTTACAGGTCACAACAATATAAATCTTACTTTACAGGTCACAACAATTTAAATCTGACCTTACAGGTCACAACAATATAAATCTGACCTTACAGGTCACAACAATATAAATCTGACCTTACAGGTCACAACAATATAAATCTTACTTTACAGGTCACAACAATTTAAATCTGACCTTAAGTCTTAATATTACTTGCCAAAACAATAGAAGTCTGATTATTACTGGCCATACCAAGAGACATATTGTAAAATATTTGTAAGTTCTTCATTACATTGTAAATGAAAATATTTTTGGATTGCTAGGACCATCGGACAGATATACAGAAAACAGCAAACAACATGGTTGAGGATGCCCTCTCCCTATCCTTAGACCAAGACTACTTGTCTCCCTTTGCCCTGTCCTCCATTGACGCGGGAATTAACCTCAAAGGTGAGATTTTGTTCCTCTAAGTCTAACAAGTGTCAAGGCCACATACATCTGTATTCATTGTAATAATTAAAGTAAAATAACATCTGATTATCTCTATTAATCCACTTTTATTTAGTTTTTTTGTAATTTGTTGGTACATATTTATGTATCAGGGTATGTGTGTGGCCAACATCTGATGAATTCCTGATCAGAGAATATATTCATCTTTAGCTAATATCCTGTTGTCTTTCTGTTGTATTGATGCTGCTTTAAGAGTGTTTATGTATATCTTATTTCACTAATATCAGATACTTTGTGTTGTACAGGGGGAAAACCAGACGATATAACAGTGATACTAGCCAGAGTGGCCGTGCTAGATACGTAACATCTAGTGTTAACATAGACACAACAATCTGTAATCTCTAAATCGCTGAGGTAGCAACATTTCTATACCTACTCTTAAGCTACAGGTATTCTCCAAGGTGTTGAGGAAGACTTTTTATTGCAACATGTTAGGACTGAGGAATATTTTCCTGTCAACAGTTTTGTGTTTACATAATGAAAAGTGATGTTTTGTCAGTGATAATGATCTTGGATTACCAATAACAAAGATCTCTAGAAGCTAACTACATTACAGAAGCATTTTTTTTTATTATTAAATTCTTATTGAAACTTGGCAGGTGTTTTACATCAGCATATACTACAAACATGTTGCAATTAAAATTCCTCTGAAGCTTGTCTACAATAGTAATATAACAGATGTATCAATGTTATCATGTACTAGAAACAGCCATGTGATATTGAATGTAAATGTGTTTTATGTGTCTAAAACTGTTGTTGGTGTGTAAGGATTCCCTGGAACTGTTTTATATTAGACATTTACAATTTGTGGAAGTCACGACTTGGAAATACCTTTACTAAGCTGCTTTCATTATCATGTAACCAACAGTTGGACCAAAGTTGTTGATGGGACAGACTCTGATGTTTATACCTGGTGAGGTGTAACAAAAACCATCAGCCTTAAGAAATATGATATAATTACTCATTCTGTATCAAATGTAAGAGTCTTGCTGCCTGTTTATGTTTACACATATATTGGCTAAATACTTGGGTTACATTTATAATTGATTTATCAAGGACTATGGTAAGATTATAACTTATAGAAATCTTTTAATTGATTTTTTTTCTTGTACCCTAGTACGACCAAGAGTACTGTGTTCCCCATTATCCCTGAATGGGGGTAGAAAACTCCTCAGATTGGTGAAATTTTAAACCTGTACCCCTGGGTTTTCAAACACTCTTTTATATACATTGCAAAGGGGGGTAAACTGCCCCCCACACCCCCTCACTTCAAAATACAAGGAAGAACACTGAGAGTAACACTATATGCCCAAAACCATGAAATGGCAGGGCATAAAGAGAGGAAAGACAGGGTTTAGGGAAAAATGCTCCTGGTGGTTTGTGATTTTGTCCAATCAATGCTGTACATCATAGGAAAAGAGATTCACACATTGGAGAAAAACCAAGATGGTGAAGCTTATTGTGAGAAGTAGTTTCTATGAACGAAAAACCTGCAGATTTCATATCAGCAAAAATTGCACCTTGATAATCTGGTACTCAATAGAAGTTAAGATGATTGGAGATACAAGAAATTGTGGTATCTTTATCATCACTTCTACAATAATGATAAATAGATTTTATAAAAATTCATTTCCCTGGTAACAGTAGAATTGATATTGATATTGATATTGTTATACAGTTCAACAGTTTTAGAACATCATCAGTTTTTTAAAAATGATCTTGGATTCAGATCCATTCCGTCGCTATCACTACAGGTTTACAAATAAAACAACTTCTGTAATTGTTGTCAAATTCTTAGTATGCAAATGGAATCTAGGAACACTTTTCTGGGGACGTTTTACCATCTGTCTAGAAAACTGAACTGTTTGGTGTCTAAGAATTGTTTTAACTACTGAATAAAAACAGCTTTTCAGATCCTGTGAGAGGGGTTTAACATTGATGTGTTGGTTAGTTGTCATCTGGTATTACTTTTGTTGGATATCCTGTACATACCTTCAATGTTGTAAGTAGAAATGATAAAACTGTTGTCAACTGAACAGTATCCATTAGTTTATGTGTCTCTACTGATGAAATCTTACTCATCGTTGTTTTGTAGTATACACTCTTACACCATCCTGAAATTATTTTGTTATCAGGAGATAATGCTAATTGTTATTGTTGTAATTAGAACAGATCAATTACATTTTGTAATCATAAAAATGCCAACCCAAGTAACATGTTTTATCCATGAATGATTTACAAAGATTCTTTGGACCAAATCATGTGCCATTTAAAACTGTAAATCTGACTTGCATTTCAATACGGACTCATATTACACTTGTGGATGGCAAGACACAAGAATTAATAAAATGCTTTGAAACACGCTTGTGTCCGATGTTGGGTTAATTGAAAACTCACTAGTATTAATTATGACACTTAAGATATCAAAATGAAATATTGTCTTCACTCTGAATGTCAAGAAAACTTGTGATGGTAATTGTTAGTGGTTTTTCACATTAAATTGTATTGATACTTAGACTTTACATATTCTGTAAAATGAGAAAATCTTTTAATTATTTTGTAATTAAGTTCAATTAATTTTATTATTTTGTGTTTTGTTTTGCTGTATTATGTAATATAAAGAATTGTACAAGATAATGTGAAAGACCTGTACTTGCTGGGTTTCTGTGTTTGTACAATTTATCAATATTAATGAAACTGATCATTTACTATGGATGTAGCCTTTTGTTTTTAATTTTTAAATAATTTCATGTAGAAGAAATCAACTAAATAAACCCTGCAGATACATTTTGTACAGATCAGGAATGGTTATAATGTCTACAAACACAGCATTTGGAATGTTAATTACATGTATATGCAGCTTGGTAAAACAAATGTAGACAAGCTAATTTATTTTTACTCTTGCTGTCAATTTGCCCACTATCCTCAGCTTTAGAAAACCAAAAGCAGTCAAAGATACCATGTTGGTTGTTTCAATTACCAAATACAACCCGTACAATACTCTGTCCATATGGTTTAACTTGAACTGCACCTGTGGACATGTTAGTATCTTATTATTAAAGCATGTCTTTTTAAACTGTACAATAACATTTGAGTAGTTGTGTTGTTCTGCCCTAAAATGCTCTACAAGAGTTTAATCTGTAAAGGACTTGTATCACTGCTCCAACATAACCTCCTAAGGAGCACGGAACAGTCTGTAAAGTATTATCTGTAGTAGTGAAAGTAAGTGGTAAAGTGTAAAAATTGTAAGATACAAGTACAAAATTGTCTTCTCACAAAGTTTCAAAATAATTCATTATTTTAATATTATTGACCTATATAAGTCTGTTTTATACAAAATTTAAACACAAACACAACTGTTGCTTTGTAATTTGATATTTCCGAAGTGGAAGAAGAACTTGTGTTTATTTATTATTGATTGTGGGTAAAATGCCCTAATACTGGGAGATAAGGTGAGGAGGGGACCTATATACTGTTTATACAGGGTTGATGATGATAATTGATGGAGTATTTTTACAAGCCCCTGATTTTTGATGAGAACACTACAAAGAGCTGTGTATTTGATTTGATTAATACAAATCTTTACTATATTGTCACGTTCCCTTTTATTACTTTTGTTGCATTTACGTGTGGTTTGTAATATTTACCGTTTTTATCTGCTTTATCTTGTAATCATGAAATATGCAAATTCAAAGGTAGTTGCACTGATTACATGTATTCTTGTAGATTTTGTTGTAAAGATAAGAATTTGAATATTTTCATAAGTGTATGATCTCATTGATGATTTGAAAAGAAACAATACTTAAAATATTGGAATGTAATGATGTTGTCATTTAGTTTAGTGTTAGGTATGTAGGTAAATATAGCTCATTCAATCAGATACATCATGTTACACTCTCAAAACTACTAGGACAAATTCTAGAACAGCATGTATTTAGAATATTAAAAAGACATCTCCTATCAAAGCTACCTAGAATTAACTATAAGCATTGTAAAACAAACATTTAAGAAAATATTAGATCTTAACGAAACATTCTCTGGTACAGTATTAAGGGTATTTAAGATGTACCTTGTAACATTTTGTCATTTTTTGATTGAATGAAGCTGTGGTGTGATTTAGTAACTTGTATATTTCACAGAAATAACTAGAAAATTAAGGAATGTTTGATGATATAAAGAAAGTACAACATGTTTTGTTTGAATGTTCAGTGATTGGGAGGAGATATATGTGGAAAACATTTCATAATTATGTAAGTGATGTTTGGATAGGGCACATTGGCCCAAAATAATCTTGAAAAGTCGAGCAGACTTTTATTAATTTTTGTAGTCTTCAGTTAAGAATAAATTATAAACTTGTTGGTAAATGACTTTTAAGAGTCAGTTATGTTGAAACAATTTACTATTCAATGTGACTTGTTTAAAAAATGTCTTCTTTTATTTGCAAAGATAATGTATGTTATCTCATGTCTGTATTGTTTTTCTTTTGGTGGCATTTGGGAAGGCTACATTTTAATGTATTTTTGGTGTTGGTTATATTGTCCACACTAAGATTTCTAAGTTCCTGCAGGCCCATTAAAACATCATACAGTGCTTCCTTATCTGAAGTGCTTGAGATGGCATCTCAGGTCAGAGGTCAAGGTTAATGTACTTCTGTTCCATTGATGTTGAAGTGACACCTGTATGAAATAATTGTTTTGATAATACATTTATTTTAACATGAATTTGTTAAAAGTTTGTGGAACAAAACATAGATATTAGATGTTAATTTTACCTGTAATTCTGCATGCGGTCTTTATCAACTCTTGATGTGTTACTTGTACGAGGAATTCATCCAAATTTTATCAGACTTTAGAAAATACATGTATGTACATGTCAGAGTTGGCCCACCATCAATTGAATGTTTTGATTTCGAAGTGTTTCTTCTAGTCAAAAAATTGTATCTCTGTCTACCATTTGTTAAATTTGTTTAAAATTCAAACAAAATCAATTTCTTCTTAATGTGTATTGAAGATTATACTATAACTATGTCCCTACTTTCTTGTCAAATTGAGACATACTAACCTGAAGATATGTCACCATATTGTAATCTTGACTCATATTAAGTGCTGTAATTGTGTTCATACTTTAACATTCCCCAAACATTTATTTCAGATACTAAATTTAATTTTAGTGGTGTTAAATGATTTGTGTCAGCGGTGTTAGAACAATGACTACTGTATTGTCAGCGTCTGTGACATAACACTGGTGGAATCTTCCTGAAATTTCCAGTAACAGAAATTGCACCACGTTCATAAATGACTCATTTAATTTGTAAACATTAAACATTGGTCTCAAAACGTGTCTTGTCCTGGTAACAAATCAGGATGGAGGTCATGACAGGAGTTTATGTTTTACCTCTCTGGTGTGTTGATCAGGTACTGTTTACTGTTCTAATGATAAAACATGTTCATTTACACATTTTATAAAACTTTTAACCAGACAAAATCAAAGAAAAACTCCACCAGTTATATCATGCATCATTAAATCTTTCTGTAGAAGTTCAACTCTATCTCAATAGCCTATATCCTGTTACTGTAAATTGATCTAAAAAGGGTAAAAAGGAATTGTGTAGAGACAGAAGTTAAACTGGAGAATACATGTGCAGAATGGATGTATCATTGTTTTCTGAAATCACATATATGTGGAATGTTTGATAAAAATAAAAATTGTAACAACATTAAACTGAGTTGTTGATGTTTTGCTGTTTGAGTATTATGACAACTTTTAGCAATGAAGAAATTTTGAGCTATATGATTACAATGGACCTAGAATGGATTTATTTCTCTCATTGATACCTGACCAATCAATGCATCAAGTATTTTGAACCCTTCGACGAATTCCACTCCTCAGTCACAGGGTCGTTCCTCATGCCAGCAGAGTTCTCGTCACCCACTATTCAATTCTTTAACCACTAGGGGAGCTCAGATATTCGGTGGGTGGGTGGGGAGGTCGCTAGTCTTCCTAAATTTTCTCTAAATTTATCTTGGTCCCTAGTCTTCCTCAATTTTCTCTAACATCTTGGTCTCTAGTTTTCCTCAATTTTCTCTAAATTTATCTTAGTCTTTAGTCTTCCTTAATTTTCATGTGTAAATTTATCATGGTTCCTAGTGCCCTTTTTGCTTTTGGATCTAATAGAAAAAGAAAAATTGTTGATTTGGCAATTAATAGATTATTAATGTGATTTCATAAAATTTTTAAAATTTCATTTAACAAAGAGCAAAAATACAGGAAAGAAGAGGAATATGATGTTCAGGTTTTGAGAAATGTTAGTCTACCAAAGAAAGGATTTAGTATTGAAGCATGAGGTCTATATACATACACTGGACTGGACTTAACGGCAAACTAATGGTGTAGTTTAATACATTGGACCTTCACCAAACAGTGGCAAAAAGATCCATCACGTGCTTCCAACCAGATTGTCAAGGGTGAACATATTGAAGTTGGTATAACATTTATCATTTGTTGCAAAAATTTCTACAGTCTGTAGTCCAAAAACTCAAGTGTTGCACATAACAGGTCAAAAATTTCCTTTGATCAACAAAATAAATTCAAGCTATGACAAAATATATTTATTTCTTTCAATAAATAATCTTAACTACACAACTATTCATTATCATTAAAAGAAAATGGCCTCTGAGTACGATAATAAATACCTATTAACATTGAAACCTCAATAAAAACATTACACAAACATGATTTCTCTGTTGCATAAATAGCACTTCGATAAATTCATCACTTTCCTTGAAATGAAGAAATACCCTTTTATCTAGTTTTCTTTCGTAAAATATGTGTGATTATTCTGCGTAGTACCCACACATCAGAGTGGATTCATCAGCCAAGTACATGTCAGTGGGAATAACAGAACAAAGTCATACAATGTAACAATATACATCTTTATATTGTAACAATATACTTTTTTTATGTTGTAACAATATACATCTTGTTATTGAAACAATATATTTTATATTGTAACAATATACATCTTCATATTGTAACGATACACTTTTTTATATTGTAACAATATATTTTTTTATATTGTAACAATATATTTTTTTATATTGCAACAATATACATCTTCATATTGGTTTTAATCCAAATTGCCATTGTTGTCCTTGAATACCATTTTTTACATTCTAGGCACTTTAAATAAAATACATTTGACACATTCCAGATATGGCTTCACCAAGTATTCATATCTTTGTGTCTTGTATATAAACATCTGCATCTTTCATTTCTACTATGAGAAATATCCACCAAAATGTCAGTCATCTTCGTCAGTGTCCTCTGCCAATACCACACTGGTCTGGAGGACAGATTGAGATTGTGTGCTCGTCTGAGAGCTACCAAAAAACAGCGATCGAAACTGTAAATAAACAGATAAAAGGTTTTGAGGGAAGCTATATAAAAATAGACGCTGTAGGCAAATACCAATGAAACATGAGGCTTAATATCATCTCATGTTGACACCTTTATTTGTGAATTAATATCCAGTAAGAAAACAAACACATTATCCCCTTGATATCTGATATTGTCTGTGTTACATGACAATAAAGTAAATTATGTTAACCTTTTATTTCTGTTATCTTTTACTAGTTAGGAAACATTACTGATGTGTGCATAATTTGAAAAGATAGTTTACAATTTCATTCATGGAAATTTACAACCAATCACATTTAAGTGGTCAGTTTAAAAACACATTCTTTGTTATCACTACAGCAGTTCTAGATCAGACCGCAGATGATCTACATGTACTCTAAATCTAAGCTGATTGAATCAATATCATCTGGTCAGAACCAGTGTGATATGTCAGGAATACATCCAATTATGATTCAGTATAAACAGGAACTAGAACACTGACAAGTCAGAAAGGGCCCGCTATGTGTTTGACCCAAATAGTCAGCTTCAGTTGAGTGTTACAATCCTTGTAAGCTGTCAGAGTCAAGTGGGAAGCATTTTTACATTACCCTCGACAACCTTGCGATGTTGTGCAAAGAACTTAGAAGAAACGAGAAATGAAGGTGGACAGACGGTTTGGTGACAATATTTGTCTTTGAAACTTGAAGTTGGTTTGTGACACTCTGCATTCCCAAGATATATAAATACATCAAGTTTGGTGAATATCGTTCGAACGACATGGAAGTTAAGGGCAGACAAGTTTTGGTGACAAAGGGCAATAACTCTGCAAATATTTGTCGTTGAAACTTGAAATTGGTTTGTGACACTTTGATTTCCAAGATATATAAATTTAGCAAGTTTGGTGAATGTCGTTCAAACAACATGGAAGTTACAGGCCGGACAAGTTTTGGTGACAAAGGGCCATAACTCTGGAAATTTTCGCTGTAGAAACTCGAAATGAGTATGTGCCACTCCGTAATGTGAAGATATGTATGTATATGTAGTTTCATAAAGATACGTGAAGTTGTCTCCGAGAAATGCCAGAAGCAAAAAAATGGACAGACAGACGGACGGACAGATGGACGGACAACCTGATTACTATAGGGCATCCACATCTCCGATGTGGGGCCCTAATTATTTTGATAGTTTCGTATGTAGGTTTTTGAATAACTTGTATTTGTGATCACTGCTATCTCTGTGTTCCATTATATTTATCCACAATATCAAGGGTCTGTCAGTATATATATACCATGTATATAGAGATAGATTTTACACAATGTGCATGTGGTGATTTTTGGACATTACACCGTATTTACAAATTGGATGCTGTACACGACTACTGGTCAAGTTTTACTCCTCAATGCTTTGAGAAATGCTTACTGTTTTGCACATAACTTGCCAATTTTGTCCAGAAAGTTTTATGACAAAATTCCATGTGCACAAATACATGTGTATTTTGACCTTACCAAAGACACAAAAATAGTGAGAATAGGCTGGATACACAATTATACATGTAAATCAGAAAATGTACCAGCCTACCTATAACTGGATATTGTACCTTTTTCCTGGGTGGTGTGCCTGGAACAACATCATCTTCCTCCTCCTCATAATCATCATTTTCATTGAAAGATAAATTTGAGACACTTGTATCAAAAAACTGAAAATGGAAAAGATAGTCTATTAATGAATATATTCAAAATCACAAGATATGGACTGATAATCAAACATCAGCTACCGATTGATTATACCTTAGTTACAGACGTATTATCATAACATAGTTACTGACTAATTATCATACCTTAGTTCAGACTAATTATCATACCTTAGTTACAGACTGATTATCACACCTTAGTTACAGACTGATTATCCTACCTTAGTTACAGACTGATTATCACACCTTAGTTCAGACTAATTATTATACCTTAGTTACAGACTGATTATCACACCTTAGTTACAGATGTACAGATTATTATCATACCTTAGTTACAGACTAATTATCATACCTCAGTTACAGACTAATTATCATACCTTAGTTACAGACTGATTATCACACCTTAGTTCAGACTAATTATTATACCTTACTTACAGACTGATTATCACACCTTAGTTACAGACTTATTATCCTACCTTAGTTACAGATGTATTATCATACCTTAGTTACAGACTAATTATCATACCTTAGTTACAGACTGATTATCACACCTTAGTTACAGACTGATTATCCTACCTTAGTTACAGACTGATTATCATACCTTAGTTCAGACTTATAATCATACTCTAGTTACAGACTGATTATCATACCTTAGTTACAGACTGATTATCCTACCTTAGTTACAGACTGATTATCATACCTTAGTTACAGACTAATTATCATACCTTAGTTACAGAGATTATCACACCTTAGTTACAGACTGATTATCATACCTTAGTTACAGACTAATTATCATACCTTAGTTACAGACTGATTATCACACCTTAGTTACAGACTGATTATCATACCTTAGTTACAGACTGATTATCACACCTTAGTTACAGACTGATTATCACACCTTAGTTACAGACTGATTATCATACCTTAGTTCAGACTAATTATTATACCTTAGTTACAGACTGATTATCACACCTTAGTTACAGACTGATTATCATACCTTAGTTACAGACTGATTATCATACCTTAGTTACAGACTGATTATCACACCTTAGTTACAGACTGATTATCCTACCTTAGTTACAGACTGATTATCATACCTTAGTTCAGACTAATTATTATACCTTAGTTACAGACTGATTATCACACCTTAGTTACAGATGTATTATCATACCTTAGTTACAGACTGATTATCACACCTTAGTTACAGACTGATTATCATACCTTAGTTACAGACTTATTATCATACCTTAGTTACAGACTTATTATCATACCTTAGTTACAGACTGATTATCATACCTTAGTTACAGACTGATTATCATACCTTAGTTACAGACTGATTATCACACCTTAGTTACAGACTGATTATCCTACCTTAGTTACAGACTGATTATCATACCTTAGTTACAGACTGATTATCACACCTTAGTTACAGACTGATTATCCTACCTTAGTTACAGACTGATTATCATACCTTAGTTACAGATGTATTATCATACCTTAGTTACAGACTAATTATCATACCTTAGTTACAGACTGATTATCACACCTTAGTTACAGACTGATTATCATACCTTAGTTACAGACTGATTATCATACCTTAGTTACAGAGACTAGTTACAGACTGATTATCATACCTTAGTTACAGACTGATTATCATACCTTAGTTACAGACTGATTTAGTTACAGACTGATTATCTACCTTAGTTACCTTATTATCATACCTTAGTTACAGACTGATTATCACACCTTAGTTACAGACTGATTATCCTACCTTAGTTACAGACTGATTATCACACCTTAGTTACAGACTGATTATCACACCTTAGTTACAGACTGATTATCATACCTTAGTTACAGACTGATTATCATACCTTAGTTACAGACTGATTATCATACCTTAGTTACAGACTGATTATCATACCTTAGTTACAGACTGATTATCCTACCTTAGTTACAGACTGATTATCATACCTTAGTTACAGACTGATTATCCTACCTTAGTTACAGACTGATTATCCTACCTTAGTTACAGACTGATTATCCTACCTTAGTTACAGACTGATTATACAGACTGATTATCATACCTTAGTTACAGACTGATTATCACACCTTAGTTACAGACTGATTATCATACCTTAGTTACAGACAGATTATTATCATACTGATTATCATACCTTAGTTAGTTATCATACCTTAGTTACAGACTGACCTTAGTTACAGATTATCATACCTTAGTTACAGACTAATTATCATACCTTAGTTACAGACTGATTATCATACCTTAGTTACAGACTGATTATCCTACCTTAGTTACAGACTGATTATCCTACCTTAGTTACAGACTGATTATCATACCTTAGTTACAGACTGATTATCATACCTTAGTTACAGACTGATTATCCTACCTTAGTTACAGACTGATTATCCTACCTTAGTTACAGACTGATTATCACACCTTAGTTACAGACTAATTATCCTACCTTAGTTACAGACTGATTATCCTACCTTAGTTACAGATGTATTATCATACCTTAGTTACAGACTGATTATCATACCTTAGTTAATTATCATACCTTAGTTACAGACTGATTACTACCTTAGTTACAGACTGATTATCATACCTTAGTTACAGACTGATTATCACACCTTAGTTACAGACTTATAATCATACTCTAGTTACAGACTGATTATCATACCTTAGTTACAGAGATTATCATACCTTAGATTATACAGACTGATTATCCTACCTTAGTTACAGATGTATTATCATACCTTAGTTACAGACTAATTATCATACCTTAGTTACAGACTGATTATCACACCTTAGTTACAGACTGATTATCATACCTTAGTTACAGATTATCCTACCTTAGTTACAGACTGATTATCATACCTTAGTTACAGACTGATTATCCTACCTTAGTTACAGACTGATTATCATACCTTAGTTACAGACTGATTATCATACCTTAGTTACAGACTGATTATCATACCTTAGTTACAGACTAATTATCCTACCTTAGTTACAGACTGATTATCATACCTTAGTTACAGACTGATTATCATACTTTAGTTACTGACAATTTATCTATTATTCCTTCGTAACGAACCTTTGTTACAGACTGATTGGGTATTACTGGGCTGTCCTGAGAAGCTGTCGTTGTAGCTATGGGAACCTCGATCCGAGATGAATGTGGTACTGGACTTTCTGTTCTAGGGGTGTTTCCTCGTGGATGTTTTACAGCTGATTCTTCAGGTCTTTGGTTATAGGTTACTAAAGTCATATCAGTTTCATCATTTATCATTTCATCATCAAAATCCCCTTCCATCAGTTCAACATAAGCCATCTCTAAACGTTCACTCCTATTTTGTTTTTCTGTTCTGTAGAAACAATCACATCATTTATTCCTACAGCACTTTTACAAGTTTTAATCTCAATGACAAAACAAAATCACTGGTGATAAATACTAATACAACAAGTACTTAGATTGTGAGTTTATTTTGAATCACACTCTGATTAAACACTGTTGACTATAATTTTTTTCAATAATCATCATTTTTGTTAAGTAAAGAGTGTGTTGTAAGAAGTATTGATTGCTATATATTTCAGATTACAGAGTACAGGAAAAAAGACTTGAGTAATTTGTATAGTTTATGGGAACTGAAACAAAGAGTGAAGTTTAGGATATAACTTATACAAGGATAAAACATCATTGATATGTTATGTCTGACATGTGGCTCTTGGCAAACATTTTAATCCCTAGATCTGTAAGTTAAAGTGATATACATTCACTATTCTAATCTTAATAAGCATTAATAATAATTACATAATAAATTTGTGTTCTTACCCGAGTGTGATGGGAAACAATTGAGAGACTATAAATTCAACTAAAATCAAGTCAGTAGGACAATGTCACCCCAGATCTACAAGTAGCCTACACAAATGATGACATCACAGATAAGAAGTAAATGTAAATAAATGCCAGGGGCAGATAATTCATTACTTACATATATCTAGGGACAGATAAGCTATTACCTACAGATATCTAGGGGCAGATAAGCCATTACCTACATATATCTAGGGGCAGATAAGTCATTACCTACATATATCTAGGGGCAGATAACTCATTAACTACAGATATCTAGGGACAGATAAGTCATCACCTACATATATCTAAGGGCAGATAAGCCATTACCTACAGATATCCAGGGACAGATAAGTCATAACCTACAGATATCTAGGGGCAGATAAGTCATTACCTACAGATATCTAGGGGCAGATAAATCATTACCTACAGATATCTAGGGGCAGATAAGTCATCACCTACAGATATCTAGGGACAGATAAGTCATCACCTACATATATCTAAGGGCAGATAAGCCATTACCTACAGATATCTAGGGACAGATAAGTCATAACCTACAGATATCTAGGGGCAGATAAGTCATTACCTACAGATATCTAGGGGCAGATAAATCATTACCTACAGATATCTAGGGGCAGATAAGTCATTACCTACAGATATCTAAGGGCAGATAAGCCATTACCTACAGATATCTAAGGGCAGATAAGTCATTACCTACAGATATCTAGGGACAGATAAGTCATCACCTACAGATATCTAAGGGCAGATAAGCCATTACCTACAGATATCTAGGGACAGATAAGTCATAACCTACAGATATCTAGGGGCAGATAAGTCATTACCTACAGATATCTAGGGGCAGATAAATCATTACCTACAGATATCTAGGGGCAGATAAGTCATAACCTACAGATATCTAGGGGCAGATAAGCCACTACCTACAGATATCTAGGGACAGATAAGTCATCACCTACATATATTTAAGGGCAGATAAGTCATTTCCTTCAGATATCTAGGGACAGATAACTCATTACCTACAGATAACTAGGGACAGATAAGTCATCACCTACATATATTTAAGGGCAGATATGTCATTACCTACAGATATCTAGGGACAGATAAGTCATCACCTACATATATCTAAGGGCAGATAAGTCATTACCTACAGATATCTAGGGGCAGATAAATCATTACCTACAGATATCTAGGGGCAGATAAGTCATCACCTACAGATATCTAGGGACAGATAAGTCATCACCTACATATATCTAAGGGCAGATAAGCCATTACCTACAGATATCTAGGGACAGATAAGTCATAACCTACAAATATCTAGGGGCAGATAAGTCATTACCTACAGATATCTAGGGGCAGATAAATCATTACCTACAGATATCTAGGGGCAGATAAGTCATAACCTATAGATATCTAGGGGCAGATAAGTCATTACCTACAGATATCTAGGGACAGATAAGTCATCACCTACATATATCTAAGGGCAGATAAGCCATTACCTACAGATATCTAGGGGCAGATAAGTCATTACCTACAGATATCTAGGGGCAGATAAATCATTACCTACAGATATCTAGGGGCAGATAAGTCATTACCTACAGATATCTAAGGGCAGATAAGCCATTACCTACAGATATCTAAGGGCAGATAAGTCATTACCTACAGATATCTAGGGACAGATAAGTCATCACCTACAGATATCTAAGGGCAGATAAGCCATTACCTACAGATATCTAGGGACTGATAAGTCATAACCTACAGATATCTAGGGGCAGATAAGTCATTACCTACAGATATCTAGGGGCAGATAAATCATTACCTACAGATATCTAGGGGCAGATAAGTCATAACCTACAGATATCTAGGGGCAGATAAATCATTACCTACAGATATCTAGGGGCAGATAAGTCATAACCTATAGATATCTAGGGGCAGATAAGTCATTACCTACAGATATCTAGGGACAGATAAGTCTTCACCTACATATATCTAAGGGCAGATAAGCCATTACCTACAGATATCTAGGGACAAATAAGTCATAACCTACAGATATCTAGGGGCAAGTAAGTCATTACCTACAGATATCTAGGGGCAGATAACTCATTACCTACAGATATCTAGGGGCAGATAAGTCATTACCTACAGATATCTAGGGACAGATAATTCATCACCTACATATATCTAAGGGCAGATAAGTCATTTCCTTCAGATATCTAGGGACAGATAAGTCATTACCTACATATATCTAGGGGCAGATAACTCATTACCTACAGATATCTAGGGACAGATAAGTCATCACCTACATATATTTAAGAGCAGATAAGTCATTTTCTTCAGATATCTAGGGACAGATAACTCATTACCTACAGATATCTCATTTCAATTTGTCATATGGTATTTCGTGATCAATTTTTTGGACCTCTTTAACATTGTTTGTCACACAATGTTTTTATGTGTAAAATGTATGAATAGAAACAGGTTTTTTCATCAATTTCAACAACATAAAGAACTGTGCAAAATACAAAAGTGTCCAAGTTACACAGATTTTTATGGTATACACTAGATTTCCTTACCCCTGTTTTTGTCTGCGGTGGTTGCTGGTATCCTCTTTTGTGTTGCGGTCTCCATCCCCACCGTTAGATGGTCCTTGCTGATTGCAGGAGGTTGTGTGACCACTGGGTTTTGCTTTTCTGTGAAGTTGATGAATTCTTAATTAAACAACTTAATAATTGTTTACTTTTCAGTAGTCACATTTAACTCGCTTTAGGTAAAAGAAATAAATTTTGCCAAAAATTATATTGTTAAACATAGAAGTCATTCATATCATTGGTTTTATATAATACCTAAACTGAAGTATTAGAGTGAACAGTTTATGAACAACATAATCTGATAGATTTGTGGCGCCACAATACATACACCCCAGTGTCATATAGATATAATATCACCAGAAAACGAGGTGAATACATCACTTTTAATAATAAATTCATCAGCCTAAAAATACTTTAATATTAACATTCTCTAGAAAATGTGATATCAGACACTCGAGACCATTTTTATTTTTACAATATTTATGGTATTTTTCATTTCATTTACTTATTGGTTTACATATCACCACCCTTCCTCAAGAAAACATTCCTACATTTGTTACATAAATCTTGTAAATAGTCCAGTTATTATATATAATGACACACACTATAAACAGTTAATGTTGTTATACTGCAGTATAAACATACATATTTCAGCAGCTATATAATTTCAGCACATTTTGGCATTGAAATATTGCATTAAATATAACAGCACAAACTGTTGCTTGTGTACTGTTTATACATAGCAATAATCACTGATGCAGGAAATCCCTATTGTGCTATTATAACAAAAATGTATTAAAAGTTATTAGTATTAAGTAAGTTTACAACATGATATATCAAAGCTTTTTGTATAATAGTTCAAAATCATATTTATATAGTTTAGAAGGATCCTGCTTTGAAAATATTTTCAATAAAAAGATCAACAAAATCCTATAAGACAGAATTTGTCTTTTGTAAGTGGTACCTATTCTGTTTCTGAGGAACATTCCTTGAAGATGAAGCTTGCTGTGATGCAGCTCCAGACTGAGATGGTTGTTGGTCAGCTAGAGTTGCCAGGACAAAATTGGCTTCAAATGCACTGTCACTGTCTATACAAAGAACTACAGGCCTGCAAGTACAATAGAACATTACAAGTACAGAGAAACAATACAAGCATAAACAAAAGGCATACAGGACCTGTAGCTAACCTGCTTTGGTTTAGCCAAAATTGCTTTATCCAAACTGTAGGAGAAAGATTTTAAAAGCTAATTCGGTTTGACCAAAATTACTTAACCCAAACTGTTGGAGAATGATTTTAAATGTATTTCCTCAATGTGTCTACATTCCCGATCTTTAGCTAAGTCAAATCCATTGTTTATAAGCAATTGAATCCCCTCCATTCAATGATACTTGAGACCATAACTGATCAAAATCATTTCACCTCTATTCAAAAAGATATTCTTTACACAAAACTGGTTTCCCTTTCTCAAATAATGCTAGACTAAATCTGGTAAGAATTCATTCCTTCTTTTAATATAACTAATAACAATTTGTAGGAAAATGCTGACAGATCAATGACAGATGCTGCAACTGTCATCTGGTCAGGGAAGCTAACTAGAGATACACTATAGAATACATTTTAGAAACACAGTGGGAAAACACACACACAAACTAGACAACTCAAAGTATAATCCAACAAAAGGCCCTATGGGCATGTATCACTCACCTAGTTAAATGCTTTTCACAAACACATAAACATCATATCTCATTGACATTCAAAGTGGGTCCATATCAAACTATTTAAATCCATCACCATAAGTTAAAAGACTTCAAAATAAGAATATCTAGAATTAAGTAACCGTAATGCTGCTGAGATGTCCCCTGAGACCACCATATTTTCATCATATGTAAGGAAACACTTACCTTCCAGAAGTCTCAAACTGTATAGAGATGGGCATTCCAGTGGCTTCTCCAAAAGATAGAATGGCCTACAAAGTAAGTATACAGCAGTAATGAGATGTATGTAAACTGTGTGGAAGGTATTTACTACAGCAGTAGTGAGATGTATGTAAACTGTGTGGAAGGTATTTACTACAGCAGTAGTGAGATGTATGTAAACTGTGTGGAAGGTATTTACTACAGCAGTAGTGAGATGTATGTAAACTGTGTGGAAGGTATTTACTACAGCAGTAGTGAGATGTAAGTAAACTGTGTGGACGGTATTTACTACAGCAGTAGTGAGATGTATGTAAACTGTGTGGAAGGTATTTACTACAGCAGTAGTGAGATGTATGTAAACTGTGTGGACGGTATTTACTACAGCAGTAGAGAGATGTATGTAAACTGTGTGGACGGTATTTACTACAGCAGTAGTGAGATGTATGTAAACTGTGTGGACAGAAATAATACAGCAGTAGAGAGATGTAAGTAAACTGTGTGGACAGAAATAATACAGCAGTAGTGAGATGTATGTAAACTGTGTGGACAGAAATAATACAGCAGTAGAGAGATGTATGTAAACTGTGCAGACAGTAATAATACAGCAGTAGAGAGATGTATGTAAACTGTGTGGACGGTATTTACTACAGCAGTAGAGAGATGTATGTAAACTGTGTGGACGGTATTTACTACAGCAGTAGAGAGATGTATGTAAACTGTGTGGACGGTATTTACTACAGCAGTAGAGAGATGTATGTAAACTGTGTGGACGGTATTTACTACAGCAGTAGTGAGATGTATGTAAACTGTGTGGACGGTATTTACTACAGCAGTAGAGAGATGTATGATGTATGTAAACTGTGTGGACGGTATTTACTACAGCAGTAGTGAGATGTATGTAAACTGTGTGGACGGTATTTACTACAGCAGTAGTGAGATGTATGTAAACTGTGTGGACGGTATTTACTACAGCAGTAGTGAGATGTATGTAAACTGTGTGGACGGTATTTACTAAAGCAGTAGAGAGATGTATGTAAACTGTGTGGACGGTATTTACTGCAGCAGTAGCGAGATGTATGTAAACTGTGTGGACGGTATTTACTACAGCAGTAGAGAGATGTATGTAAACTGTGTGGACGGTATTTACTACAGCAGTAGTGAGATGTATGTAAACTGTGTGGACAGGATTTACTGTGACAAGTTTAGTGTACTCTCTTGTGTATAGGAAAGCAGAAACATACAGGATTAAGATGGATTCCTGTACATGTTCATGCAGTTTTCTCTTCTTAATGAAAATGCAAGGTGATTTGTAATTTTTGTCCTGGATTTATAAAGTTATAACACTATTAACAGCTTATTTGTGAAATAAATCAGATTATGAAGACAAGTTCTTACCAAAGACATAAAAATAGCTCAACAAAATGAATAAATATATTCAATAGTCATCAAGTGATTCCTGAGTATTTCCTACTTCTTTTGTTTAATATGTCCACAATATAACAAAGGCTGTCAAAGACGGGTTATGCTCCCCAAAAGAGTGCCGTGGACACAATATATGCCGCCACAAAATATAACGATCAAGAAAAACCATAAAAATCGCCACTTCCAGCACATCCATCCATTGTAGTAGTGACATTGAGCAAGTTTCGTGAAAATCTGATCTTTAGTTTAGGAGGAGTTGCGTTCACAAGGCTCCACTATGAGCAAGCTACAGATACAAAGTTGAAAATGGCATAAATCTTACAAAAATCAACGAACCAAAAAATCACCCCTTCATGCACATCTACCAATTGTAGTAGTGACATTGAGTAGTATCATGAAAATCTGATGATTAGTTTAGGAGGAGTTGCGTTCACAAGAAATGGACGAACGGACAGACAGATGGTGAAGATGATGCCAATATACAACCGCCTCCTGCGGCGTATAAAATAAGGAAGGGCAATAAGAGAGTTATGATTTTGTACACTGCTCTCCTACTTGTTGAGATCTATTTACCTAGGAAGTTTCATGTTGATACCCCTTATGTTTTAGTGTAATTCTCCTGACAAAATTTAAGTCAGAAAAATAACAAAGGGCAAACTCCTAAACGATATGAAAAAGAGCAATGATTCTCTTGTGCATTGTGCAAAGAGAGTGATGGTTCTGGTGCACTGCACTTCTCCTTGTTGAGATCTATCTACCCCTATGTATGAAGTTTTATATTGATACTTCTTATAGTTTTTGTGTTATACTCTGGACAAAATTATGAAGGACGAACAGAAAATGAGACGACTGTATGCTCTCCCTTTGGGGAGCATAAAAAGGAGCAAATTATCATATAACACTCGCTATTCGTGAAAATAAATGAAAAAAATACCCACAACCCCATTTCTTAATAAGAACACAAATGGTGATATCTGTGGGCACACTGACCTGTCAACTGTCAAACAAGGGCACACAACTCTACTGATCCACACACTGACAAAATCCTTTAAACTGAAGATATTTGCCTGTGCTGGCCTATCAACTATCAAACAAGGGTATACAACTCTACCGTAAACACACTCACCCGTAACTCCTTCAGACAGAAGGTGATTTCTGTGTCAACGCCCACCTGACAGCTATCAAACTCACTAGGGTCAAGGTTCAACATTGTGTGCATAACTTTGTTTGGATCTAAAAAGAAATATGCATCATACATGAACTTAATCAAAAAACTTGCTTATGATATGACTACACTAGAAAATAATAAGAGAGTAGATCATAATTTATACCTCTGCATATTGGTATGTATTACTTTGGTTTTTTACATTCAGTTCTGATAAATTTAAAAGACCTAGGGAAAGGAGAATACCTTAATTTAACATTCCATTCAAAATTTACCTGGTTCTTCTTCTACATAATTCTTTAAGCTTATTCTTTCAGGAGATGCAATCAGAGTTATCTCCTCTTGATTATTTTGAAAATTCAGAACAGCATCTGACAACAATCTACAACAAAAATTTCATTTATTCAATATAAAATCAATTAAGATATTAATCTCAAAAACATCAATATATTATCAACCAAACACTGAATACAAATCTTGATAACCTTTGATCATACGACAGGCAACATAGTTCTCACTTATTTATGGGATGGGCTGTGAGCCTTTGAGTATAATCTGATATACTAAGGATGTACTGTGAGGTTGGGAGTATTGTCTGATATACTTAGGATGGGCTGTGAGCCTTTGAGTATAATCTGATATACTAAGGATGGACTGTGAGGTTGGTAGTATTGTCTGATATACTTAGGATGGGCTGTGAGGTTGGTAGTATTGTCTGATATACTTAGGATGGGCTGTGAGCCTTTGAGTATTGTCTGATATACTTAGGATGGGCTGTGAGGTTGGTAATATTGTTTGATATACTTAGGATGGGCTGTGAGGTTGGTAGTATTGTCTGATATACTTAGGATGGACTGTGAGGTTGGTAGTATTGTCTGATATACTTAGGATGGGCTGTGAGGTTGGTAGTATTGTCTGATATACTTAGGATGGACTGTGAGGTTGGTAGTATTGTCTGATATACTTAGGATGGGCTGTGAGGTTGGTAGTATTGTCTGATATACTTAGGATGGGCTGTGAGGTTTGTAGTATTGTCTGATATACTTAGGATGGGCTGTGAGGTTGGTAGTATTGTCTGATATACTTAGGATGGACTGTGAGCTTGGTAGTATTGTCTGATACACTTATGATGGGCTGTGAGGTTGATAGTATAATCTGATATACTAAGGATGGGCTGTGAGGTTTGTAGTATTGTCTGATATACTTAGGATGGACTGTGAGGTTGGTAATATTGTTTGATATACTTAGGATGGGCTGTGAGGTTGGTAGTATTGTCTGATATACTTAGGATGGACTGTGAGGTTGGTAGTATTGTCTGATATACTTAGGATGGGCTGTGAGGTTTGTAGTATTGTCTGATATACTTCGGATGGACAGTGAGGTTGGTAGTATTGTCTGATATACTTAGGATGGGCTGTGAGGTTGGACAGTGAGGCTGTGAGTAGTATTGTCTGATATACTTAGGATGGGCTGTGAGGTTGGTAGTATTGTCTGATATACTTAGGATGGGCTGTGAGGTTGGTAGTATTGTCTGATATACTTAGGAGGTTGGTAGTATTGTCTGATATACTTAGGATGGGCTGTGAGGTTGGTAGTATTGTCTGATATACTTAGGATGGGCTGTGAGGTTGGTAGTATTGTCTGATATACTTAGGATGGGCTGTGAGCCTTTGAGTATTGTCTGATATACTTAGGATGGGCTGTGAGGTTGGTAGTATTGTCTGATATACTTAGGATGGGCTGTGAGGTTGGTAGTATTGTCTGATATACTTAGGATGGGCTGTGAGGTTGGTAGTATTGTCTGATATACTTAGGATGGACTGTGAGCTTGGTAGTATTGTCTGATACACTTAGGATGGGCTGTGAGGTTGATAGTATAATCTGATATACTAAGGATGGGCTGTGAGGTTTGTAATATTGTCTGATATACTTAGGATGGGCTGTGAGCTTGTTGATACACATGTCTTTGGAGAAGATTGCCTGGAGGGTCTCACATTCTATAAAGGCCAGGTTGTGGGTCTTAAGTATACCTACAATTGTAAGAATACAAATTAAAACAAAATACTTTTTATGATATGAAAACAACAATATCCTTCTGTTATAAAATGCAGCAAACATATAGAAACTGCCAAAAATTACAAGAGATGAGACTCAATTTCACATTTTACAAGAATTTCATCGATCAGCAACCTTGTAAATTATGGCATGATACAATAAGACTTGTTATGTATACAATGATATATCTAACTACGCCTGTTTATGATGATTTACTTCCCTGGATTATGTCATGGTCTATAGCTACACATTTAACATTCTTATCATAATGTGACTGCAACTAAGGCAGATTAGAATACAGGCCCAAGATTTCTTTTAGATTCACTTTGATTATAAAATCTATAAACATACCATGTTTACAATGAAGTTGGAACACTAGTCGTGCTTCTTGGATATTCATTTTGATCTTACATCTCTCAACCGTCTTCTCAATATTTGCCATCGATTTGAATACGGTTAGACAGGACTATTGAAAAAAGTCAGATATCAAATTTAAAAAGAGATCAAAAACATAACCTTAAAACAGAATTGTTTCATCTAATATCTAAATCTTATATATAAAATAAAAGAAAGTATAAACATTCGAATTTAAATTAAATGAATTCATCAGATTGGTGAAAATACTTTACATTACCAATTACGACATGATAATTTCTCACCTTCATTCCAATTTTACACCGAAGAGCATCCTCCTCACTGTTTTGAGATGAAATATCAGAAACACCATCATCATAATCTTGGAAAAATGAGGGAGAAAACAGGAAGCATGCATAGGCTGATCTGGAAGAATTTACTGTCCGCAAAGCCAGCTGTCAATCAAAGAAAACAACCTGAAAGTTAAACACTTTTTACAAATCAAGTACAACTGAAGCAATAAGAGGTAATTTCCAAGGATTTAACGATCCAAGTTGTAATTCCATAAAAATATTGAACATTTTCAATAGTACTGACAAAATATGGTACATGGCAGGTTGGGGAAAATGACAAATTTGTGTATAACAGGCAACCTGACCTATTATATTCCTGTTGGAGTATGAATTTATCCCTAAAAAAAGCTAAAATTTTTAAACAGCAACAAAAGCTACATCTCATAAAAGTCGCATTAATCTACGATGAGGTAAATAATTTTTTACTAAATGATCCTTACTAAAAGTGCTGGCTACTTAGAAGCTTGATATAACAATGGCCGGCATAGTAACTGTACTATATCATAACATAAACAATATAAGCTGGAAGTACAGCATCTATTTTTGGTGCTTGGCCATATGCAAATAAAAAATTTTTTTCATAACATAAATGCAACTTTGGGAAAAAATTTTGATACATCTGAGATTAAAGTGATTTTAACTGTTTAGTTAAAAATCCATTTCCCAATTTGGGTATTATAGGCTAGCTTACATATTATATGCAAATTTGTGGCTTTCCCTGACCTGTATAATGTAGGGCTATTGGAACAGTTTAATTTCTTAATTGGTTGAACTTATTAAATACTGACCCCATGTTCTAAAGGTTCAAAATATAGTTCATCTCCAATTCTTGACAAGGAATGGATTGCTCTTCCAAAGACTGAAAGAAATAATTCAAAGATTATATTAATAAGTTAATCATAGCATTTCCGAAATAAAGATTGCATGCATATTTTCTACGGAGATGTCTCATATCTTACATAAGAAACTGCTGAATATCAAAAGTTCTCATAGGTTAACAAGAACAATGTCCATCTACATGATCTAGGGCTGAAATAAACTGGGTTAATTATGTTTACAATTTATGAAATTGTACAAAAGATAGCTTTTTTTAATACAACTATAAATAAAATTCCTTAATCCAATGGAGCATAAAATGACTACTTGCATTTTATCCAGAAAAGTATAAGGTTCTGCAAGTACATACATGGGAAAGGAAAAATATTTGAACCTAAAAATGTTCATATATGATGGAGGGGTTACAGCACTGGAAAATGTTGAAAGCAAGTAAGACATTGGAGTAACAAAAGACAAAAACTTAACCGTCCAAAAACATATATGAATAACAAAATATTTAGTTTACTATTCGAGGCTCTGGTTCAACTTCATTGGAGGATTCAGTTTGGAGTACACCAGCTCAGTATGGTCACCTCAGGCGAAGAAAGACACTGAACCAATTGCAAATGTACAAAGGCGTGCAACCAGAATGTTTCAACACATGAAAAACATTGACTATAAAGAACGACTACAAATGTTGAATGTACCATTTTTGAAGTTCAAACGCATAAGAGGGGATATGATTGAGGTGTTCAAAGAGGGGACACAAGTCAGAAGTATGACAACACGGTAACAATTGGCTTACTACAAATAAATTGATGTATGAAACAGTCTACCAGTTTACAAAGTAACAGCTACAAACGACCATCTGTTGGAAAACAGACATTACAAAGGGAGAATCATTCCATGAAATATTATTGTAATTCAAAGTATGGACCAGTCACCGAAATAAAAACACAAAAAAAACTAGCTGCATAAGATTTTTTCTGAACTGCCCATAGAGGACCAAAAACTCTGCAGGCAAGTACAACACAAGTAAACACGAGTATTAGTAAGTAAGTTTGCTACTCATATATGTTTCTGCACCTTTGATGTGAATGCCTGGGATGATACACTTCATATTGGACTCATAACCATGCACATACTGGAGGTAGTTGCCATGAATATTATCACCGAGAAGAAATAATGTAAAAGACCAGATCAACTTCTTTCAAGCAGACCGCCATAGCCATCTATTAACCTAAAGTCGTACGAAACGGAAAGTTTCATTGGACGAGGAATACCATTCTAACCAATAATAATACGTGTTTCAGGATTACCAACGGAAGTAGTTCTCTGTGTTATTTCCGGAAATTGATCACATGAACTACTGATTTTTACAAGATGGTAAAGTTGCTGTTTATGTATATTCCTATTTCTGAACTCTGCAAATCGTTTCATTGTTAAACAGCAGCGATAATTTTACATTTAGAGAGTTCAGTTAAAATATTCATAGATTTACAATTTTCATTCCAATCATGAAATAATTATGTTCCTCCTGGGGGTGTGTCATATCTCTAGATACTGTAATAAGATTTGCATGTATTAAGCCGCTTTTATGTGTTTTGCTCTTTTAATTCCCCCTCGTTTTGAAAAGCCATTCCTTTATACTATCCTGCCAAACAGTTAGTACTTGATCGATCAATCACCTCCATGAATTTTGATAATTTTCATGTATGATCGATGCCCATTGGTGGTGATATTCCTTCAAATTCCGTTGAAGTACTCCAGTCAAAGACCACCTTAGTTTATCAATGAAAGACACTCAAATCACTTAAGTTTCTTGGAAGAGAAAGCTTTTTTGCCCAAGTCACTGTAAAAACTGTGAATGTCAAATCTGTAGAGGAGATAATTTGGAAATCGTGAAAAACATTCCTAGCAAGAGTAAATTAAGTTTCAATTTTCAATGTAATCAAATAGCTACGACCTAATGACCAGCTCAGCAATACAGCCATAAGCTTATAATGCAATGGTTTATTATGAGTTTTTTTTTGAATGATGAGGATTTCACTTTTTGCTATGATCATGCCATTGGCCTGGTATGACAGCTGGTTACAACCAAGATGTAGATATCTTAACACAGTAATCATCTAGATGCTTATTTATCCCACTCACAAGAACAATATACGATCATTGATTGGACCAGGATTTGGGTAAAGTAAGATAAATTCCCAGACATAGATAAATATGGCTGTTTAACTTATAGATGCACAGCAGCTGGTCAATGAAATGATATGGGCAAAGTAAACAGCACTTTTAGTAAAATATGGTTTGGGAAGATAGAACACTGCAATAACGTATCTCATGTTGTTTAGGATGCATAACACAAATTATTCTGAATTTCAGTTGGTACTCGTACTTGGAGATCTTCACCTACCTCACCGGTGTCATACTTTGCCCTCAAGGTTTAAAAAATTACTTGTCCCTGGAAAGATACAACACATCTTATGTACTGGAAACCTTTGTACAAAGGAGTCATTTGACTATCTTAAAACACTAGCCAGTGATGTTCATGTGGTGAGGGGTGATTTTGATGATGTAAGTAATATTTATTGACTGAGTCATGAAATTTTCACTTTTACATGAATCAAGGATTTTAGTCATGATGTACTTTTTGACAAGTTTGAAACAGTTTTTCTTTTACATTACAAACTCCTATGGATGTTTCCTAAAAGTTTGTTGATTGATTTTGTTTCAGAACCTTAATTATCCAGAGCAGAAGGTTGTTACAGTAGGACAATTCCGTATTGGTTTATGTCATGGCCATCAGGTGGTGCCCTGGGGTGACACAGAAAGTCTGTCGATGGTCCAGCGTCAGTTAGATGTTGATATCCTCATCTCTGGTCACACACACAAGTTTGAAGCATTTGAGCATGAAAATAAATTCTACATCAACCCTGGTTCAGCTACAGGAGCATACAATGCTTTAGACAGGTACTTATTGAAACTCAATAGTGTTTCCTCATGTAAACTTGATTCTTAAATAGATGTTCTTATATCAGAACTACTTAGAAATTTATGTTTGATGTTTCCTTGGCTACAATGTCACTTTCCTCAGATAAATGATCTTTGTGAAGCATAAATACATTGTGCAAGATGGTAATTATATAATACAGCTAGTGGTTTTATTACTATCTTGTACACTGTATACCAAGTGTTAATATTCTTCAAACTTGTCATGTTAATATTCTTCAAACTTGTCATGTTAATATTCTTCAAACTTGTCATGTTAATATTCTTCAAACTAGTCTTGAAAATATTCATCAAACTAGTCGTGTTAATATTCTTCTAACTAGTCGTGTTAATATTATTCAAACTTGCCATGCTAATATTCTTCAATTTTGTCATTGGTCTGTTATACACAACTAACCTGAAATTGAATTGTAAGAAAACAACGAAGTATGTAACAAATTGTTTATTTTGTTGCTGAATGATGCCATAATTCAACAGTAATAAGAAAGTTTTTGTTTTCCAGCAATACTGTTCCATCGTTTGTGATTTTGGATATACAACAGTCAACAGTGGTAGCCTATGTATACAAATATATAAACAATGATGTCAAAGTTGAGAGAATTGAATATCGCAAAAACTGAAAGGATTCAGTGAGGACATTTCACTGCAACTGATCAACATTTCAACATCTTTTTTGTCTCTGTGACTGTGCTCTGGATACATTTGTGCTACACAATATTTCATTGGATGAAGATTTAACTTTGTTTTCATTTTTGTTATCTCATTGTTACAATTCTGGTGTAGTGAGACATTAACCAATGTATCTTGTTATCTCCCTTAAGGCAACACAGTCTTTGGAAGAGACAAATCTCTTTTTTGATTAAAGCACAGTGTATCTCAACTCTCAGCTGTAACCACTAATTTCTATTTGTTGTTAATCAAATGTTGTACATTAGATAAATTAGTGATTCAACACTGACAGATGTACCACATGGTAACCATAAGGTTTTTGGGTAAATTACTTATGACTAATCCTCGAGATTCATTGTATATTGTAGATAATTATATGTACATAAAAATACATTTGTTCAACTACAAATACAATGGTTGAAATGGAGCCACAAGTGTAAACAGGTTCTAGGTTGTGTTCAGAAAGGGAAACTGTTTGAAATTAATATAATCAGGATTTTAGTATATATTTCAGAAGTGTTTGGTTTGAAATTACAGAATTGTTTCTGACAGTTTGAATGCTGGTCTAAAATATTTCATAAAATGATTATTTCATCTTTATGTCAGTACTTCACGATTTGAAAAGCTGGGTTTCTTTCCAGAACACTTTCATTACCAGATCATCAATGCAAGGTTTCCATAAGTAAATTAGTCAGAATATCAACAGAATTTATCTCATTCTGTCCTGTTATCAGTGTAATAATATGCAATACATAACTACCTACGTATCAGTGTAATAACACCCATTTTAAAAAAATACACACATGCAAGCAGAGCTGTGGTTGGCTGAAGGTCCACTGTGATGTCATAACTTCATGAAATTGCTTGCATTGTTACATCAGTAAAGAAAGATAACGAGAGAAAATATCACCAAACTGAATGCAGTTTAATAAAAAGAAAAATATTTTCACAAATGCTTGCAAAAGTATCTGTGATACAGAATCTTTCAAACATTTCATGTGAGATTTATGAAACATAAACACATTAAGAGGTGCTGTACATGGAATGCTTTGTTGTATTCAAGAATACATCCTTAAGTAAAACATTTGCAAACTTTTCATTCAGCTGTAGAATACTGCACGGATAAACATGTTTGACTTTCAATACAAGTTCACAGGTATGTAATGTGAGTACTGATTACATACTGGTCTTAATTCAAGGCATGAAAATAAAAGAAATAATATTGTCTTAACGAAAATTGAATCTAAATACACTCTTCTTGTTAAATTGGAAAGAATGTGAGCATCGTTAACGATGGAAAATGTACATTTCTTAAGGATAATATACATAACCACTGTTGTGTTGCTGTAATCTGTTATCATCACTGTTTAGGTTTTGTTAAAATTCCTTCATTTATGGACTTTTTATGTTCAGTGTTTGTCTGTGAATTTATTTATATATAAATTAGAAAAACAAATATGTATTAGAAAATACACAACCTGATAGAACCAATGGTGTTGTCTTATCTGTCACAGTATTTCTACAGCTGGTGTTGTCTTATCTGTCACAGTATTTCTACAGCTGGTGTTGTCTTATCTGTCACAGTATATCTACAGCTGGTGTTGTCTTATCTGTCACAATATTTCTACAGCTGGTGTTGTCTTATCTGTCACCGAATTTCTACAGCTGGTGTTGTCTTATCTGTCACAGTATATCTACAGCTGGTGTTGTCTTATCTGTCACAGTATATCTACAGCTGGTGTTGTCTTATATGTCACCGAATTTCTACAGTTGGTGTTGTCTTATCTGTCACAATATTTCTACAGCTGGTGTTGTCTTATCTGTCACAGTATATCTACAGCTGGTGTTGTCTTATCTGTCACCGAATTTCTACAGCTGGTGTTGTCTTATCTGTCACAGAATTTCTAAAGCTTGTGTTGTCTTATCTGTCACAGTATTTCTACAGCTGGTGTTGTCTTATCTGTCACAGTATTTCTACAGCTGGTGTTGTCTTATCTGTCACAGAATTTCTACAGCTGGTGTTGTCTTATCTGTCACATTATTTCTACAGCTGGTGTTGTTTTATATGTCACAAAATTTCTAAAGCTGGTGTTGTCTTATCTGTCACAGTATTTCTACAGCTGGTGGTGTCTTATCTGTCACGGAATTTCTAAAGCTTGTGTTGTCTTATCTGTCACAGTATTTCTACAGCTGGTGTTGTCTTATATGTCACAGTATTTCTACAGCTGGTGTTGTCTTATCTGTCACAGTATTTCTACAGCTGGTGTTGTCTTATATGTCACAAAATTTCTAAAGCTGGTGTTGTCTTATCTGTCACAGTATTTCTACAGCTGGTGGTGTCTTATCTGTCACGGAATTTCTAAAGCTGTTTCTGTTTTTGAAATTGTCAGATTACTGTTGCATCACCTTAATAAAAGTTAAATGATGTCTTTATGAAATTATCATTTGGAGCATCTGACTACACTGAAAGACTTCAGTAAAATCTGTCAGTATGACATTCCTTGGTACTTGATGTCCTTAAAATTCCCTGCTCATTGAAGTTGGCGAGAATATACACGGACTTCATCAACAGCAGAAATTTGTTGTTCACAATTCAGAGAGGAGTCCATCACACTTCAGAATCTACCACAAAAACTGATTAGATTTTCTGTTAGTGTAACAGAGGTCATTATTTATTTTAATGCCTCTGCTAGGAATTGAACCTGGGACCCCTGGCTTACTAGTCTGATGCTCAAGCAATCAAGCTAAAGAGAAGTTCTCTTTTGCCCAGTGGTATATTGCGGCTAGTATTTACCAGGGATAATTAGATCTTCAAACTTGTAAATGTAAGCCAAACCTATGCATCACAAAAAGGCATATGTGTAATACAGAATTGAAAAGAATAAATTTTCCCCATTTTAGGTCATCTGACCCGAAGGGTCGAGATGACCTATAGCCATCGTGCTTCGTCCGTCGTCGTGTGCCGTGCGCCGTGCGTCGTCCGTAAACTTTTCATTCAAAAAACTTCTTCTCAAATACTAGAAGGCCCAGGGGGCTAATACTTGGCCCATAGCATGCTGGCACGGAGCCCTACAAAGTTTGTTCAAATGAATGACCTTGACCCACTTTCAAGGTCACAGGGATCAAATATGTTAAAATATACAAACAACTTCTCAATAAGCAAAAGTCTATGAGTGCTGATATTGGGTGTGTAGGATGCTTGGAGGAAAGGCTACCAAGTTTGTTCAAATGAATGACCTCAACCCACTTTCTAGGTCATAGGGGTCAAATATGTTAAGATTTTTAAACAACTTCTTCTCAACAACCAAAAGGCTCAGAATGCTGATATAGGGTCTGTAGGATGCTGGGATGAAGAGCTACCAAGTTTGTTCAAATGAATGACCTTGATCCACTTTCAAGGTCACAGGAGTCAAATATATCAAAATATACAAACAACTTCTTTTCAATAAGCAAAAGTCCAAGAGTGCTGATAATGGACCTGTAGGATGCTGGGATGACATGCTACCAAATTGTTCAAATGAATGACCATGACCTACTTTCAAGGTCACAGGGGTTAAATATGTTAAAATATGCAAATGACTTCTCAATAACCAAAATGATTAGAGTGCTGATATTGGGCCTGTAGGATGCTTTGAGAAAGTGTTACCAAATGTGTTCAAGTGAATGACCTTGAGCCACTTTCAAGATCACAGGGTTCAAATATGTTAAAATCTGTAAACGACTTCTTCTTAGTAACCAAAAGGCTCGGAGTGCTGATATTGGGCCTGTAGGATGCTGGGAGGAAGGGCTACCAAGTTTATTCAAATGACTGAAGCCCACTGTTTTAACGGCAGACTCACTGTTGTTAGAGTTTGGCTTGCTTTTTGTCAGATGACCGTTAAGGCCCATGGGCCTCTTGTTTATGTATGCTTCAGAATGCAAATGTCAACCGAGGCCCATGGGCCTTAACAATTATCTGAGTAGTAGTAGGGCAAACAATTGTTAACTGAGTAAAACATAATGATATTACAGCAGTTATAGTAACACTATTCAATCTACTTTCTCCAAATCCCCACTCTACTTCAGTACTGTGGCAAAAATGTGTTTTTTGAGATATTGGCCACATTGGATTTTGGACTAGCCCAAAAAGTAAAACCACTAGGTCAGGATCATCTCAGGATCTGAATTATGCATAATATTCACCTGAATCCTATAGGTGGAACATGAGAAGGAGTTTAAAATGGGTGTTTCCTTTCCCTAAAATCCCACTGATCTTCAGCTCCATGGCACCATGAGAAATTTAGAAGAAGTTTAATATGTGTTTTTCAAATTTCAGAAGACCCACAGTACCGATATAAGGCCAGTATGTACTTGGGGTGGGGTGCTTTAAAGTTTGCTCATATAAATGACCTTGGCCTTTGTTCAACACCAAGGGGATCAAACTCTGATAATCAACATCTCAAGTTTCCGGAGACCCAAGGTACTGACATTTGTTCAGTACAGGTACATGGGACTGAGTGCTACAAAATTCCCTGTTAAAAAAAGAATTATCTACTTAAGTTTCATAACACTCAGAGTTCAGATATTATGCCAGCAAGTACCTGGACCAGAGCGCTACATGCACAAATGTATAAAGTTTTCTGGTATATAGGACCTTGACCTATTTTCATAGTCATGAGTAAAAAAGAATGAAAATATTCTTCTTAAGTTCCAGAAAACAATTATCAATTGAGTACCTGGAATTCAGTTCTACAGAGTTACCACTTAAACATTATCTGAACCTATTTAGAAGATCACAGAGGTCAAATATGTTCAAAATACTTCAGAGTCTTCCTCTCAAGTTTCATAAGACCCAGAGTCCAGATATACCTGAAAGTATCTGGGATAGAGCACTTTAAAGTTTCTGCATATAAACGACCTTGACCTAGTTTCCAGGTCACAAGTTACAAATATGTTTTGAGCATGTCATAATCTTCCAAAGTTGAAGAAGACCCAGGTTGCTAATATCTGGTCAGGAAGTACCTGTGATAAAGTGCTATAAACCTTTAATTTTTAAATGGCCTTTTCAAGGTCACATGAGTAAAATATATTTAAATTATTTAAGAAACTGGTAAAATTTAGCACTTGTGAAAATGGATTATAAAATAATTATTTTGACAAGTTTGTTTAATATCCAAGTGGGTGTTACAAACCCACTGACTTGACCTCCTGCTATTAAGCTGGCAAATGAACCTGCAAGGATTTTGAAGATATGATCTGGAAACTAACTTGCAGTAAGTTGTACCAAACAGGTTTTCAATTTTCTAGAACTAGAATCAAAACCCTAAAACAACACAATTACTTTCTGGCACACTTTCTTATTTAGATTTTTGAATGAATATGAAAGTTTAAACGGATTCATTTCTAAAATGCGTTGTTCCGACTACATCAGAGGAGGTGGAGGTTAATGATGACATCTTGGTAAAGTATTGATTGTTATGTTGATCAGTCTATATATCAATTGGTTTCTGTTTGACAAAAAATTTCCTCTTCGTTATGACAGGCGCTGTAGTCAGTCTGAAATCTTTGTACATGAAGATATGTTTTCTCTGTTCATTATAGAGAAACATACATTCATATAAGACACAACACATTGATATATGTCTGTAATGCATTTAATGAAACTCATCAGAAAGCTTAACAATCACAGGAAAAATTACACAGTCAAGTTTCCAGTAATTCTGTATGTTATTATTTACACATAATTCTATAAATTACTGGTATTTAACCCGACTTAGTCATGTGGATCTTTAATCAAACTTTAACCATACAGCCTATTGTATAAAGCTTATATACTTCAGATTTACAATAATGTGGTAGAAAAAATATATCCTTAATAAAACTGAATTTCTATGTTTTTAATACTAAAACTATTTGACTTGCAATGTGAAAAAATGCTGGTCATGTATATGATTATAATTAAAGTTAATATTTCTAAACTCTAGAAAAATAAGTAAATCACAGGTCTTTAATACTGTTCAGTTCACAAAAGCTTCTTCATGCACATTCATCATAAACAAATGGTAGGTTATCAAAACAGAATAAGGGCAACATAATCACCATATTTCTAAACAAGAGTTGTCTCCCTTCTGTCTACGTTCTATCTAGCTAAACAAACACCTGCTTGACAGCAACAAAACAACAATAGGGTGAACATCAAAACCAATCCTTACTTTGTCTGACTAATGGTAAACTATCAGAGAAGCTGGTCCAGTTTGAATACTATATAAAACTGAAAATTGGTGTTTATACTGGTCAACATCTTCTGAATCAATCACTGCCCTAAACTGCAGCATGCTAATTACTAATACAAATGGGTTTTAAGTAGAACGATATGGGACACTTAATGAGGTGGTATACAAGCCGAACTCAAGTCAGGAATAATTGTCATGACTTGTATAAATTATCATTGATCTGTACAATGCATTCTTGTCCCTCCATACGGTCCCTTTAATGATTTTCAAATAATTACTTTACACTCCTTCGTGCATGCATACTCAGGATATGAGTGAAATCCCAAGAGGATATAAACAAACAGAATTATAGTTGAGCTTCAAAGAAATACAAAGAAGCTTGTCATTACGAAAAGAAATTCTTATACCAACTACAATATATCAGATATATATGTTTGATGAATAATGAATCTTTGATATTTTTAAATGTGTCCCCTAACCTCATGATACACCTGATTATAATACACAATAAAACCTGACATCTAATAAATCTGCCAGTCTCATGAATCATAATATAATTCCACTGGTATAAAATACATTGAACTCTGAACTCTAGTAATCACCAATGATTTCAATTACGTCTAAATTACACATTTGTGTCAAAAGATTAATTTTCATTAAGTTCTTATCTGTGTCTATTCTCAGTATTCTATTTTATCAACGTCCTTGTTGACACGTCGTGGGTCGTCTAGGTCATCAGTTTCCAAGGAATCACGTCGCGATTGCTGCGCCTTACTATCATCAGTATAATTTGTCGTGGTTTTGTCCTCAGCAGAGCTAGACTTTTCTGTGCTAAGATTTCGGGGATCAGACATTGTATTATCAGTAGGCTGGTTGGTGGCAGAACTTTCATATGTCATGGTATATGTATCTTCATTAGAGCTCTCTGTATTGTCCTGAGGTGTGATGTCTTGAGTAGCAGAACTTGAGTAAACCTCAGATTTCTCCTGGGTTCTTTGAGAAGTGTAGGTGTTTTCTGTTGTGGATTTCGTTGGTTGTGTTTCTTCAGAAGTCGTGTAGTCAGACTTTGTGTTGTGGTCATCATCTTGGCTATACTCTTCAGTGACCGATGTCTCCTGCCCAGTACTCTCCTCTACTGAGGGCTTAAACTGACCTTTTTCTTCATCTGATGATGACCTCTGTTGACCTTCACTATTGTCTGATGACCTCTGTTGACCTTCACTATTGTCTGATGACCTCTGTTGACCTTCACTATTGTCTGATGACCTCTGTTGACCTTCACTATTGTCTGATGACCTCTGCTGATTTTCCTCCTGACTTGACCTCTTTTGGCTGTCACTGTCGTCTGATGACCTTTGCTGACCTTTGCTTTCTTCCATTGATAACTTTTGCTGACCTTGACTTTCATCAGAGGATGTATTACCGTCATCTTTCATAGTTAAAGAACTTCCAGACTCATTATCTGACACAACACACCATGTAAGACACCTCAGCACAGTTAAAGATACTTCCAGACTGTCATTATCTGACACAACACACCATGTAAGACACCTCAGCACAGTTAAAGATACTTCCAGACTGTCATTATCTGACACAACACACCATGTAAGACACCTCAGCACAGTTAAAGATACTTCCAGACTGTCATTATCTGACACAACACACCATGTAAGACACCTCAGCACAGTTAAAGATACTTCCAGACTGCCATTATCTGACACAACACACCATGTAAGACACCTCAGCACAGTTAAAGATACTTCCAGACTGTCATTATATGACACAACACAACACAACACACCATGTAAGACACCTCAGCACAGTTAAAGATACTTCCAGACTGCCATTATCTGACACAACACACCATGTAAGACACCTCAGCACAGTTAAAGATACTTCCAGACTGTCATTATCTGACACAACACAACACACCATGTAAGACACCTCAGGACAGTTAAAGATACTTCCAGACTGCCATTATCTGACACAACACACCATGTAAGACACCTCAGCACAGTTAAAGATACTTCCAGACTGTCATTATCTGACACAACACACCATGTAAGACACCTCAGCACAGTTAAAGATACTTCCAGACACAACACACACACTGACACCTCAGCACATTATCTTCCACACTGTCATTACACAACACACCATGTAAGACACCTCAGCACAGTTAAAGATACTTCCAGACTGCCATTATCTGACACAACACACCATGTAAGACACCTCAGCACAGTTAAAGATACTTCCAGACTGTCATTATCTGACACAACACAACACACCATGTAAGACACCTCAGCACAGTTAAAGATACTTCCAGACTGACATTATCTGACACAACACACCATGTAAGACACCTCAGCACAGTTAAAGATACTTCCAGACTGCCATTATCTGACACAACACAACACAACACACCATGTAAGACACCTCAGCACAGTTAAAGATACTTCCAGACTGTCATTATCTGACACAACACACCATGTAAGACACCTCAGCACAGTTAAAGATACTTCCAGACTGTCATTATCTGACACAACACACCATGTAAGACACCTCATGACAGAAAAAGATACTTCCAGACTGTCATTATCTGACACAACACACCACTGACACCTCAGCACAGTTAAAGATACTTCCAGACTGCCATTACATTATCTGACAGTTAAAGATCCAGACAACACACAACACACCATGTAAGACACCTCAGCACAGTTAAAGATACTTCCAGACTGCCATTATCTGACACAACACACCATGTAAGACACCTCAGCACAGTTAAAGATACTTCCAGACTGTCATTATCTGACACAACACACCATGTAAGACACCTCAGGACAGTTAAAGATACTTCCAGACTGCCATTATCTGACACAACACAACATGTAAGACACCTCAGCACAGTTAAAGATACTTCCAGACTGTCATTATCTGACACAACACAACACACCATGTAAGACACCTCAGCACAGTTAAAGATACTTCCAGACTGTCATTATCTGACACAACACACCATGTAAGACACCTCAGCACAGTTAAAGATACTTCCAGACTGTCATTATCTGACACAACACAACACACCATGTAAGACACCTCAGCACAGTTAAAGATACTTCCAGACTGTCATTATCTGACACAACACACCATGTAAGACACCTCAGGACAGTTAAAGATACTTCCAGACTGTCATTATCTGACACAACACACCATGTAAGACACCTCAGCACAGTTAAAGATACTTCCAGACTGTCATTATCTGACACAACACAACACACCATGTAAGACACCTCAGCACAGTTAAAGATACTTCCAGACTGTCATTATCTGACACAACACACCATGTAAGACACCTCAGCACAGTTAAAGATACTTCCAGACTGTCATTATCTGACACAACACAACACACCATGTAAGACACCTCAGCACACACAACACACCATGTAAGACACCTCAGCACAGTTAAAGATACTTCCAGACTGTCATTATCTGACACAACACACCATGTAAGACACCTCAGGACAGTTAAAGATACTTCCAGACTGTCATTATCTGACACAACACAACACACCATGTAAGACACCTCAGCACAGTTAAAGATACTTCCAGACTGTCATTATCTGACACAACACAACACAACACACCATGTAAGACACCTCAGCACAGTTAAAGATACTTCCAGACTGCCATTATCTGACACAACACACCATGTAAGACACCTCAGCACAGTTAAAGATACTTCCAGACTGCCATTATCTGACACAACACACCATGTAAGACACCTCAGCACAGTTAAAGATACTTCCAGACTGCCATTATCTGACACAACACACCATGTAAGACACCTCAGGACAGTTAAAGATACTTCCAGACTGCCATTATCTGACACAACACACCATGTAAGACACCTCAGCACAGTTAAAGATACTTCCAGACTGCCATTATCTGACACAACACACCATGTAAGACACCTCAGCACAGTTAAAGATACTTCCAGACTGTCATTATCTGACACAACACACCATGTAAGACACCTCAGCACAGTTAAAGATACTTCCAGACTGTCATTATCTGACACACAACACACCATGTAAGACACAACTCAGCACAGTTAAATATACTTCCAGACTGTCATTATCTGACACAACACACCATGTAAGACACCTCAGGACAGTTAAAGATACTTCCAGACTGTCATTATCTGACACAACACAACACACCATGTAAGACACCTCAGCACAGTTAAAGATACTTCCAGACTGCCATTATCTGACACAACACACCATGTAAGACACCTCACACACCAGACTGCCATTATCTGACACAACACACCATGTAAGACACCTCAGCACAGTTAAAGATACTTCCAGACTGTCATTATCTGACACAACACACCATGTAAGACACCTCTTGACAGTTAAAGATTATTCCAGACTGTCATTCTCTGACTCACAACAACACAACACACCATGTAAGACACCTCAGCACAGTTAAAGATACACTGTCATTATCTGACACAACACACCATGTAAGACACCTCAGCACAGTTAATGATACTTCCAGACTGTCATTATCTGACACAACACACCATGTAAGACACCTCAGCACAGTTAAAGATACTTCCAGACTGTCATTATCTGACACACAACACACCATGTAAGACACCTCAGCACAGTTAAAGATACTTCCAGACTGTCATTATCTGACACAACACAACACAACACAACATGTTAGACAACTCAGGACAGTTAAAGATACGTCCAGAATGCCATTATCTGACACAACACACCATGTAAGACACCTCAGCACAGTTAAAGATACTTCCAGACTGTCATTATCTGACACAACACAACACACCATGTAAGACACCTCAGCACAGTTAAAGATACTTCCAGACTGTCATTATCTGACACAACACAACACACCATGTAAGACACCTCAGCACAGTTAAAGATACTTCCAGACTGTCATTATCTGACACAACACACCATGTAAGACACCTCAGCACAGTTAAAGATACTTCCAGACTGTCATTATCTGACACAACACAACACACCATGTAAGACACCTCAGCACAGTTAAAGATACTTCCAGACTGGCATTATCTGACACAACACAACACACCATGATCTGACACAACACACACACAGACACCTCATGTAAGACACCTCAGACACAACACACACAGTTAAAGATACTTCCAGACTGCCATTATCTGACACAACACACCATGTAAGACACCTCAGCACAGTTAAAGATACTTCCAGACTGCCATTATCTGACACAACACACCATGTAAGACACCTCAGCACAGTTAAAGATACTTCCAGACTGTCATTATCTGACACAACACACCATGTAAGACACCTCAGCACAGTTAAAGATACTTCCAGACTGACATTATCTGACACAACACACCATGTAAGACACCTCAGCACAGTTAAAGATACTTCCAGACTGTCATTATCTGACACAACACACCATGTAAGACACCTCAGCACAGTTAAAGATACTTCCAGACTGCCATTATCTGACACAACACACCATGTAAGACACCTCAGCACAGTTAAAGATACTTCCAGACTGTCATTATCTGACACAACACAACACACCATGTAAGACACCTCAGGACAGTTAAAGATACTTCCAGACTGTCATTATCTGACACAACACACCATGTAAGACACCTCAGGACAGAGTTAAAGATACAGACTGTGACACAACACACCATTATCTGACACAACACAACACACCATGTAAGACACCTCAGCACAGTTAAAGATACTTCCAGACTGTCATTATCTGACACAACACAACACACCATGTAAGACACCTCAGGACAGTTAAAGATACTTCCAGACTGTCATTTTCTGACACAACAGTACACAACACACCATGTAAGACACCTCAGCACAGTTAAAGATACTTCCAGACTGCCATTATCTGACACAACACACCATGTAAGACACCTCAGCACAGTTAAAGATACTTCCAGACTGCCATTATCTGACACAACACACCATGTAAGACACCTCAGCACAGTTAAAGATACTTCCAGACTGCCATTATCTGACACAACACACCATGTAAGACACCTCAGGACAGTTTAAGACTGTCATTATCTGACACACCACAACACACCATGTAAGCCACCTCAGCACAGTTAAAGATACTTCCAGACTGTCATTATCTGACACAACACACCATGTAAGACACCTCAGCACAGTTAAAGATACTTCCAGACTGTCATTATCTGACACAACACAACACAACACACCATGTAAGACACCTCAGGACAGTTAAAGATACTTCCAGACTGCCATTATCTGACACAACACAATAACCAGAAGGCTATCTGACCAAATGGTCCAGAGCTCCACTTGATATGAGTAAAGTTGGATGCTCAACATATAAATGCTGATTATTCGTGCATCATTTTATCATTTAGTATACATACTTTGGACATTGCAGTTACTAACCTGCTGTCTTGGCACTGGCATGACCTAGGCGAGACTTTGGCCTATCCACTCCCTCCCTGTGCGAGCTGCTGCCTTCCTCGAGCCTGTTGTTATCAGAAGAACTATCACTGGACGTAGTGGCTGGTGACACTTGTTTCTTTTCCTCCTCTTTTCCAACCTTACTACTGTTTTGGTTGCGATTCACTTTAACATTAGGTTTACTAGCTGATCCTTTGCTTGTCCGAGTCGGTGGAATCTCGGGAGCTGTTTTGTAGGCTTGCTGTGTTTTTGACCTTGGTGACAATTGTCGTTCCCTGGTCGACTTGGGACGAACTGTTTTAGGTCGCTTCCCTTCCTTTTCATCACTGGAATTGTTCTTGAGATCAGAGCTGCTAAAAAAACAATAATACAATACATCAGAGAATTTATCAGTAATAGTTTGTATAATTCATTATTCTGTAATGTAAGCTTGATTTTACTCACGATTTTTCTGTTGAGAAGGAGTCATCGTTGTTTGAGTATGTGGTGGTGCTATCATACACATGGTATTTCTCAGGAGGAGCAGACATGACACGTCGGAAGCCAGTTGCAGGTCGCAGCATCTGATACTGACGATCCTTCCCCATGTTGATAAAACGGCCATATCTTTCTACCTCGTCCCTACCATACAGACCTGTCGACATAAGTAAATCAGTAGAGGGTTCTCGGTGTATGATGGGACATTACACTTGTCAGTACAGGGGTCTCGGTGTATGATGGGACATTACACTTGTCAGTACAGGGGTCTCAGTGTATGATGGGACATTACACTTGTCAGTACAGGGGTCTCGGTGTATGATGGGGCATTACACTTGTCAGTAGAAGGGTCTCAGGGTAGGATTGAGCATTACACTTGTCAGTAGAGGGGTCTCAGGGTAGGGTGGAACATTACACTTGTCAGTAGAGGGGTCTCAGGGTAGGATGGAATATTGTACTTGTCAGTAGAGGGATCTCAGGGTAGGATGGAACATTACACTTGTCAGTAGAGGGGTCTCAGGGTAGGGTGGAACATTATACTTGTCGGTAGAGGGGTCTCAGGGTAGGGTGGAACATTGTACTTGTCAGTAGAGGGGTCTCAGGGTAGGGTGGAACATTGTACTTGTCGGTAGAGGGGTCTGAGGGTAGGATGGAATATTGTACTTGTCAGTAGAGGGATCTTAGGGTAGGGTGGAACATTACACTTGTCAGTAGAGGGGTCTCAGGGTAGGGTGGAACATTGTACTTGTCGGTAGAGGGGTCTGAGGGTAGGATGGAACATTGTACTTGTCGGTAGAGGGATCTCAGGGTAGGGTGGAACATTACACTTGTCAGTAGAGGGGTCTCAGGGTAGGGTGGAACATTGTACTTGTCGGTAGAGGGGTCTGAGGGTAGGATGGAACATTGTACTTGTCGGTAGAGGGATCTCAGGGTAGTGTGGAACATAACACTTGTCAGTAGAGGGGTCTCAGGGTAAGGTGGAATATTGTACTTGTCAGTAGAGGGATCTCAGGGTAGGGTGGAACATTACACTTGTCAGTAGAGGGGTCTCAGGGTAGGATGGAATATTGTACTTGTCGGTAGAGGGATCTCAGGGTAGGGTGGAACATTACACTTGTCAGTAGAGGGGTCTCAGGGTAAGGTGGAATATTGTACTTGTCAGTAGAGGGATCTCAGGGTAGGGTGGAACATTACACTTGTCAGTAGAGGGATCTCAGGGTAGGGTGGAACATTACACTTGTCAGTAGAGGGGTCTCAGGGTAGGATGGAATATTGTACTTGTCAGTAGAGGGATCTCAGGGGTCAGTAGAGGGGTCTCAGGGTAGGGTGGAACATTACACTTGTCAGTAGAGGGGTCTCAGGGTAGGATGGAATATTGTACTTGTCAGTAGAGGGATCTCAGGGTAGGGTGGAACATTACACTTGTCAGTAGAGGGGTCTCAGGGTAGGGTGGAATATTGTACTTGTCGGTAGAGGGGTCTGAGTGTAGGATGGAACATTACACTTGTCGGTAGAGGGATCTCAGGGTAGGGTGGAACATTACACTTGTCAGTAGAAGGGTCTCAGGGTAGGATTGAACATTGTACTTATCAGTAGAGGGGTCTCAGGGTAGGGTGGAGCATTACACTTGTCAGTAGAGGGGTCTCAGGGTAGGATGGAATATTGTACTTGTCAGTAGAGGGATCTCAGGGTAGGGTGGAATATTGTACTTGTCGGTAGAGGGGTCTCAGGGTAGGATGGAACATTACACTTGTCGGTAGAGGAGTCTCAGGGTAGGGTGGAATATTGTACTTGTCAGTACAGGGGTCTCAGGGTAGGGTGGAGCATTACACTTGTCAGTAGAGGGGTCTCAGGGTAGTGTGGAACATTGTACTTGTCGGTAGAGGAGTCTCAGGGTAGGCCGGAATATTGTACGTGTCAGTAGAGGGGTCTCAGGGTAGGGTGGAACATTACACTTGTCTGTAGAGGGGTTTCAGGGTAGGATGGAATATTGTACTTGTCGGTAGAGGGGTCTCAGGGTAGAATGGAACATCATACTCATCAGTAGAGAGGTCTCAGGGTAGGGTGGAATATTGTACTTGTCAGTACAGGGATCTCAGGGTAGGATGGAACATCATACTCATCAGTCAAGGGGCCTCAGGGTAGGATGGAATATTGTACTTGTCAGTAGAGGGGTCTCAGGGTAAGGTGGAATATTGTACTTGTCGGTAGAGGGGTCTCAGGGTAGGGTGGAATATTGTACTTGTCAGTAGAGGGGTCTCAAGGTAGTATGGAATATTGTACTTGTCGGTAGAGGGGTCTCAGGGTAGGATGGAACATTACACTTGTCAGTAGAGGGGTTTCAGGGTAGGATGGAATATTGTACTTGTCGGTAGAGGGTTCTCAGGGTAGGATGGAACATTACACTTGTCAGTAGAGGGGTCTCAGGGTAGGGTGGAATATTGTACTCATCAGTAGTAGGGTCTCATGATTACTGCACTGGATCTTGACCAAGTGTAGATAAACTTTATGTAATTTTATGTATATAGTTGTCTTTACAAAATCAGCTGTACAAATATTAGTTGTAGATCTACAACCAAATTGTGAAATATGACTTATCTTGACACAGTAAACACACCTTTTTCCATTTCCTTGAAGAGCAGTTGGTTGTATTGTGCCTGTTTCAGCTTCATCATCTGCCCGGCGCTGTAAATACGTGCTATGTGAGTTAGGTATGCTCGTTCCCCAGGCTTTAGCTCTGGGTGGGTCAACAGAGGACTGGACTGAAACCGTGCTGGTAAGGAAAGACGACTTGAGGAACGTCGAGGAGAGTCTGTTAACATGCCAATCTGGAATGCTTTTGGGTCGCTGGGTACTCGACATGCTGTGTGCCTCTTGGGATTGACAGGGGAGCCATCTATGGGCAAAAGTTAATTTCTGATTTTATAGAGTCAAATAAAAGAAACTTCATCAATAATTACCATAACCCTTTTTCAAAAATGAATTAAGACATTTTCCTTTTGATGCCCCTTGGCTGCTTTGTCATATTCAGGGCCTGCAATGTTACCCTTGTCTGTCATTCTTTCAATTCTGTTTCCACTCATCTACACTTTAAAGGATAGTACAATGTACGAAGCTGTATTTTCAGAGTTAAACTGATAAAATTTCAATTTAAATAAAAAAAATGAAAGATGGCAAAATTAATATTTGAGAGCCTTGCCTAACTCCATTGGAAAAAGACAAAACAAAATTACAAGAGGTTTTATTTCAGATTCAATGCCACTCATTCTGCAGACCAATATTTTTTTCATGAATACACCTGTTATCAAAGCAAAGCTATCAAAACAGAAAGTTTCAAACTTCTCCTTGGTTACTGGCCAAGAGATTTTCTCCATTACATCTAGTTTTACATTTGGAACATCAAAACAAAAATTTCTGGTGACCTTCAACTTTGACCCGCAATTATGTCCTCACCAAAGAACTTAGCAGGGGATCTCTGAGAATTGTTGTTCCACTCTAGTTCACTGCAGACAGAGGGTGTGTAGCGAGGGGACTGCGAATTAAGGCATTTTGTGTGGAATTCCTTGTTGACTGGAGTTGGATTCCGGGAATGGCGTTCAGGGTTTGGAAGTCTGAGTAAAAATAAACATATATATATATATATATATATATATATATATACATATATACATGTAATGTACATAGAAATGAAAATATGAAAATGTTTATCCCGTCCTTAAAACTTATCAACACATCTGATATACCACACCAGTCACCCCCCACCCCCCTCACCTCCTCAACCCTTACCAACACATCTGACATCCAAAACCAGTTTCCCCCTCCCCTATCCCCTTCCTCAACCCTTACCAACATATCTGACATCCCACACCAGTCCCACCTTCCTATCCCCTTCCTCAACCCTTACCAACATATCTGACATCCCACACCAGTCCCCCCTTCCTATCCCCTTCCTCAACCCTTACCAACACATCTGACATCCCACACCAGTCCCCCCTTCCTATCCCCTTCCTCAACCCTTACCAACATATCTGACATCCCACACCAGTCCCCCCTTCCTATCCCCTTCCTCAACCCTTACCAACACATCTGACATCCCACACCAGTCCCCCCTTCCTATCCCCTTCCTCAACCCTTACCAACACATCTGACATCCCACACCAGTCCCCCCTTCCTATCCCCTTCCTCAACCCTTACCAACATATCTGACATCCCACACCAGTCCCACATTCCTATCCCCTTCCTCAACCCTTACCAACATATCTGACATCCCTCACCAGTCCCACATTCCTATCCCCTCCTCAACCCTTACCAATATATCTGACATCCCACACTAGTCCCACCTTCCTATCCCCTTCCTCAACCCTTACCAACATATCTGACATCCCACACCAGTCCCCCCTTCCTATCCCCTTCCTCAACCCTTACCAACACATCTGACATACCACACCAGTCCCCCCTTCCTATCCCCTCCTCAACCCTTACCAACATATCTGACATCCCACACACTAGTCCCACCTTCCTATCCCCTTCCTCAACCCTTACCAACATATCTGACATCCCACACCAGTCCCCCCTTCCTATCCCCTCCTCAACCCTTACCAACACATCTGACATCCAGCACCAGTCCCCCCTTCCTATCCCCTCCTCAACCCTTACCAACATATCTGACATCCCTCACCAGTCCCACATTCCTATCCCTCCTCAACCCTTACCAACACATCTGACATCCCACACCAGTCCCCCCTTCCTATCCCCTCCTCAACCCTTACCAACACATCTGACATCCAATGCCAACCTACACATATATATATATATGTAATGTATAAAGCAATTTAAATGATATGAAGAATTGTTCAACAATCATAGCCCTTGAAAAAAAATAAAACTGAATTCTAGAACTAAGATGTGATCTAACACCCCAGACTTCGGTGTATGGACTTACCTGTCAGATTCCTGGTCAGGGTCATTGTGGCCTCGCAACTTACTTTTCTGTAAAATATACATGGAAATGTTTCAACCAAATAAAACATACAAGTATTTTCATTGAAGTGAAACTCATTCCTAAGATTAGATAGATTATTCAAAATTGCTGAAAAAAGCCTATAAAATTATTAATTTATATATTAGTTACCTTGCGAACTTTGTTGTTCATTATGATGAGCTGTGTGCTGCTGTTACTAATGTCATACACTCCTGCCACAGGACTTGGTGCTGGCCAAGGTCGTCCATTATATGGTAATCTGTAATATACAAAATATTCAAATCTTTAATGTTTATATTTCACAATCAATTAATTCAATCTGTGTTAAAGGTCTTGCATGTGACAATGTGTTGGAGATAGACACAAGCATGGAGGCAGTGTTTGACCTTGTTTAAAGGCAGCTCTAGTCTGTGTTGAATCCAGATTTTGAACACCAGTAATTGCTTCTGTATAATATTTACTGTTAATTAATTAAGGATTAAGGAAATTTCTATTTTGTTTCAGAATTGATATTGTAAAACAATTTGGTGGCACTGAGATGCCAAAAACAGTTTTTCAGGAAAATGTAGTCAGACTATGATGATATAAATTTCATCTATTTTACAACAATTGTTCTTTCTACTTTTATAAATCACTCTTGTTGACCCACATGTAAAAAATCTAGGGATGTTACTGTGGGAAGAATCTAGTTGGAATAGAAGGGGTAACCAACACTGTTGGCAGGTGCCCCATAACTTTTCACTTTCCGTTGGAGACATGAATCACAGACGGTTAGAAGAAAGGTGAGAGCATTGCCATTATATGACCAGAAGACATCAGCGTCTGGTACAGTACATATCTGACAATAAGCCAACTCTTTCCCCTTTCCCCTTTTAACAAACATCTGATAACTCCCTCCCCGACTCCTCTCTCCTCTCAAAGTCAACATATGACAAACCTACCAACCAACTCCCTAACCAATCCCCTTTCCATCTCCTAACAAGCATCTGACAATGCATGCCAGACAACACCTCCCTCCAATTTTAGCCAATACCTTACATCCCATACTAGCCAACTGCTGCCCTTATTTCCCCTCAACCCTTACCAACACATCTGACCCGTATCCTGTCCTTAAAACTTACCAACACATCTGACATCCCATTCCAGCTAACCATTTCCCTTATCCTCCCTCAACCCTTGCCAACACATCTCACGTCACCCTTCCTCCCACCCATCCACCAATCCACCAACATTAGAACATTAAGTGTTGTATACTAAGGAATGTATGATTAACTGTACATTGATGTTTTCATTCAAGGTAACAAAACCCTGTACTAGATATGGTGTTATCACCGTTTCCTCCTGTGTCTATTGATTGATAGGCCCAGAGAACCACATCCCAAATGGGATTGATTGAGTCATTTTACCGACAAAGCACAATTTCAGCTTATATGTGTAGCAAATAAAACAAACACAATATCACAAGGAAATTGGATTGATTTTTTTTATTGCTTGGCTAAAAGCTGAATTGCTACATGAAATCAGCAGATTAACCAGGAAAATAAATGAAGCATGAAGTTAGTGTAAAATGTAGTCCAGATGATAAAATAGTTAAACAGAAATAATGTATGGGCTTGGAAGACAGGAACTAACCTGGAACCACTCACACATGTTCAGCATTCTGGTTACTTTCAATTACAAACTTGATGACACAATGACCTATACAACCACCAAATAAAAACCGGATCAAATACGGAGTTAAGTGATGTGTATTTTCATGGAGATTTGTTTTCCTTCATTTTTTCAAATTTTGCCAACCATATATATACATCAAATAAAGATTTCTTTCATTATTCATATCTCATTTCTCAGAGGACTTCTTTGAAACTTGGAAGAAAAGGTTTGCTTTATATTTATTTGTATTTTGCAAATTTGAATTTTGATTTAACAATTTTCAGAAGAGCTATCTTTATTCTTTTTTCTTTTTTAGTAAATCTGGTGGGATTTGTGATGATCATGATGTGAAGTTGTTTTTCCAGAATAGAGTTTACATGTAACAGTGTTTAGCGAAGTTAATGCCCTTTGTTTCCTCATATTTCAAGCTTGATTGCAGTTCTTCCCTTCCAGCTTTCAACTAACTAAGAGTTATGTACCAATTCCTGGAAGAGAAATTGCCCTCTCTTATTACTGATGGGTATTTTGATTGGACAGCTGTCATTACATTTCCATAGTTGTGCATTTCAATGCAATAATGATAAGTTTATTGTTCTGCCCAGGATGCTCTTGTGTAATATCACATGGTTTGTCAATTAGAGCAATACACAGACGTGTTTTGAAAATTGCAGTAATGTCCAAAATATTCAGATATTTTCTAATCACGATGACAGCGACAGCTTCTATGTTAACACTTATTATTTCACAACTTACTGGTGCGGTCCTTTATTTGATTGAAGTATCATGTTTAGATTTGTTAATTTTTTCTGCTTCTGAGGAAAGTTCATTACACACTAACAAAAGATACATGTATTTCAAACTTAAGAATTTTAATCCTGATCCTTATTTTTCACATTCATAAGCTGTTTTTTTGTTTGCCGGGTTTATATTATCATCCCATGAAGAACCAGGCTTATTTTGAATAGTGGTTTCCTTGTAACTGGTGGCTGACTCAGTGAACAACATACAGGAGGCCCATCACACACCTGTGACACAACCATGTAAGTGCTGATGGTACAAACAAAAAACACTGCGGGTATGGTGTGTCAAACCTCATAACACAACCATGTAAGCACTGATGGTACAAACAAAAAACACTGCGGGTATGGTGTGTCAAACCTCATAACACAACCATGTAAGCACTGATGGTACAAACAAAACACTGCGGGTATGGTGTGTCAAACCTCATTACACAACCATGTAAGCACTGATGGTACAAACAAAACACTGTGGGTATGGTGTGTCAAACCTCATTACACAACCATGTAAGCACTGATGGTACAGTGAAACAAAAAACACTGCGGGTATGGTGTGTCAAACCTCATTACACAACCATGTAAGCACTGATGGTACAAACAAAACACTGCGGGTATGGTGTGTCAAACCTCATTACACAACCATGTAAGCACTGATGGTACAAACAAAACACTGCGGGTATGGAGTGTCAGACCTCATTACACAACCATGTAAGCACTGATGGTACAGTGAAACAAAAAACACTGCGGGTATGGTGTGTCAAACCTCATTACACAACCATGTAAGCACCGATGGTACAAACAAAAAACACTGCGGGCATAGTGTGTCAAACCTCATTACACAACCATGTAAGCACCGATGGTACAAACAAAAAACACTGCAGGTATGGAGTGTCAAACCTCATTACACAACCATGTAAGCACCGATGGTACAAACAAAACACTGTGGGTATGGTGTGTCAAACCTCATTACACAACCATGTAAGCACCGATGGTACAAACAAAAAACACTGCGGGCATAGTGTGTCAAACCTCATTACACAACCATGTAAGCACCGATGGTACAAACAAAAAACACTGCAGGTATGGAGTGTCAAACCTCATTACACAACCATGTAAGCACCGATGGTACAAACAAAACACTGCGGGTATGGAGTGTCAAACCTCATTACACAACCATGTAAGCACCGATGGTACAAACAAAAAACACAGCGGGTATGGAGTGTCAGACCTCATTACACAACCATGTAAGCACTGATGGTACAAACAAAACACTGGGGTATGGAGTGTCAAACCTCATTACACAACCATGTAAGCACTGATGGTACAAACAAAACACTGGGGTATGGAGTGTCAAACCTCATTACACAACCATGTAAGCACTGATGGTACAAACAAAACACTGGGGTATGGTGTGTCAAACCTCATTACACAACCATGTAAGCACCGATGGTACAAACAAAAAACACAGCGGGTATGGAGTGTCAGACCTCATTACACAACCATGTAAGCACTGATGGTACAAACAAAACACTGCGGGTATGGAGTGTCAGACCTCATTACACAACCATGTAAGCACTGATGGTACAAACAAAACACTGCGGGTATGGAGTGTCAGACCTCATTACACAACCATGTAAGCACTGATGGTACAAACAAAACACTGTGGGTATGGTGTGTCAAACCTCATTACACAACCATGTAAGCACTGATGGTACAGTGAAACAAAAAACACTGTGGGTATGGTGTGTCAAACCTCATTACACAACCATGTAAGCACTGATTGTACAGTGAAACAAAAAACACTGCGGGTATGGTGTGTCAAACCTCATTACACAACCATGTAAGCGCTGATGGTACAAACAAAACACTGCGGGTATGGAGTGTCAGACCTCATTACACAACCATGTAAGCACTGATGGTACAGTGAAACAAAAAACACTGGGGTATGGAGTGTCAAACCTCATTACACAACCATGTAAGCACTGATGGTACAGTGAAACAAAAAACACTGCGGGTATGGTGTGTCAAACCTCATTACACAACCACGTAAGCACCGATAGTACAAACAAAATACACTGCGGGTATGGTGTGTCAAACCTCATTACACAACCATGTAAGCACTGATGGTACAAACAAAATACACTGCGGGTATGGTGTGTCAAACCTCATTACACAACCATGTAAGCACTGATGGTACAAACAAAATACACTGGGGTATGGAGTGTCAAACCTCATAACACAACCATGTAAGCACTGATGGTACAAACAAAAAACACTGCGGGTATGGAGTGTCAAACCTCATAACACAACCATGTAAGCACTGATGGTACAAACAAAAAACACTGCGGGTATGGAGTGTCAAACCTCATCTGAATTCTTAACCTCTGGTTATGTCACCCAGTGCTCGATTGATTAAGCTCAATTGACTAAGCTATCACAGTCCCCACTATTGTAAATCATCATAATTCATAACACTCAGCATTACAGTGGTAAGCACTGGAAGTAGTACCACCAAAAAAATATAGAGAATGTGGGGTTGGCGAGAGATTGTTGGGCTGGTGAAAGATTGTGGGGTTGGTGACAGATTGTGGGGCTGTTGGGTTGGTGACAGATTGTGGGGTTGGTGACAGATTGTGGGGCTGGTGACAGATTGTGGGGTTGGTGACAGATTGTGGGGCTGGTGACAGATTGTGGGGCTGTTGGGTTGGTGACAGATTGTGGGGTTGGCGAGAGATTGTTGGGCTGGTGAAAGATTGTGGGGTTGGTGACAGATTGTGTGGTTGGTGACAGATTGTGGGGCTGTTGGGTT